AATGTACCCCATACAAGTTTTAATTATTCTAAAACCGTTTAGTTATCGACTTTTTGTCGAAAGGAGGCGTTTCTTTGGTTTTTTTCTTTCTAAAAAGTGAAAAAGCTTAATTATCTTAAAATCTTAAAGATTTGTTAGTTATTTTAGACTTTAGACTTATTTTAGACTATATCTTCCAAGTTTTAACCTATTTTTGACAATTACCATAGTATAAAAGTACAATATCTAACTAAGATCGTAGTTTTTTGAGTCTTATTTAAAATGAAATCACTTTTTACTATATTTTACTATCTTTTACTCGAATTAGCCAAGAGATAAACCCCTTTTTCATGGATCTTTTTTCCCCCGAAAACACGCGACGCATCGGTGTGAATTGTTTGTGAAGCGGCTCCTCTTTTCCACCCATCCGACCGCACCGATTTTTCCGTTTTCCCCTCCCAATTTTCCCATTCACCTTTTTTCCATTCATCCACCTGTCACACGCCTTTTCCGGTGTCTGTTTTTCAAGCTTTAATTTGAAAAATTCTATTGACTCATATATTTTTGAAGTTTTAACCAAAGCTTTAGCCAAAGATTTGTAAAAATTTGACTTTTTTCAACGTTTTGTTTTGTTTTGTTTGTTCAAAACGTTCCAGTGCTTTGTTTATTGGGGATAAGTTCTTCTTTTAAATCTTTCCTCAATTTTTTATAGCATATAGCTGAATTCTTGACTAGATCTAATCAATCGTTTTTGTTATACTTCCATTTAGATCTAGATACTTTATTCTGAAATAAAGTGCGCTAGATTTAAGAAGAATACACATGAATTCATAGACATAACACGAAAAGAGCCGATAAAAAGCAACACGATATAATTTATGTAATGGATAGCACAGATAACGTTAAGAATCCACTAGAGCTTTAAGATCAAGATCATCTACAGATCTTGATCTACAGATAATTGAAAAGTTTCGAGACTATTGAACTCTCTCAAACCTCTGGGAAGTCGATTTGGATTTGAAGAATTTGATTTACCTCGCTAACTCTATTTTGACCACACTAAACTTGTCCCTAAAGTGATTCGATTCCTTTTTTGGTCACTCGCATTTTGCCCTCGAAATCTCTTCAATGGTTCGATCGATTGAAAAACGTTTTAGCCTATTTTGTAGAGGAGATTTACAGCTTTTAAATAGTTTATAACATTCATCGATATCATGTTTCTATCGTTGGAAATTTATGAGAATGTTGAAATCCGCATTTCTTATGCATGTACCTAATAGTTTTACAACAGAACTAATTGATTTTAAACAGCTGTAAAATAGTCAGTATGTGAATGCAATTAACATTGATTAACTAATTAATATTATAATTAATATTACTAAACACTTTATAGCTGAATCCTGAGTTTTAGTCTCTGAGATCAGAGCGAGCTTAGCGTCGGATCAACACGAAAACTTGTACTTGGGGGGCTTTCGAGGTTAAGAAATCCGAATCCGTCGTTAATTATCAATTATGAACTCACCATATCACCAAGCCAGATTTAATATCATTCGAAATAATTAAGAGTTGGGATCATTTCATAGGAAAACTTTGTTTTTACAATAATTTTTCTTTTTTGTGAAAAAGCCGGTTTTTTTTGACAATTTTGAGGGTTTTGAACTTACTTTTGAACTTTTGAACTCTATCTAAATTCCTGTAAATGCATTTCCGTTAGACTTTTTTAATAAATCCATATATAGTTATCCTTTTTTAAATCTTCAATTTTGGGAAGCTAACTCTATTTTGACCACACTAAACTTGTCCCTAAAGTGACTCGATTCCTTTTTTGGTCACTCGCATTTCGCCCTCGAAATCTCTTCAATGGTTCGATCGATTGAAAAACGTTTTAGCCTATTTTGTAGAGGAGATTTACAACTTTCAAACAGTTTATAACATATAAAATATAACATTCATCGATATCAGCTTTCTATCATTGGAAATTGATGAAAATGTTGAAATCCGCATTTTTTATGCATTTACCTAATACAGTCGAACCTCTCTATAACGAACCTCGATATAACGTAAACCTCTCTATAACGTAAGGCGTGACCGGTCCCGGCCGACGTTAAGCTATATAAAACGGCACTCTATATAACGTAAACCTCTATATAACGTAAGCTATAGCCGTCCCGTGAGCTACGTTATAGAGAGGTTCGACTGTATATCACTAATTCAATTCTATTGGGTTGGGGAGAATGAGTCGGCGCCGAAAATGAAAAAAAAATGTCTAAAACTTCTATTCGACTTCGTCAAATGATATGCGTTTGATATCAGTAGAATGGTTAACTAATTCTCTACAAAATGACATTTAAAAGAAAACTCAAACATCGTCTCAGCTCAAGAAAAGGTCATCTTTCCACAAAAACTACAAACTGTCATCTAGAAAAAACCATTGATGGGATCTTCCTGCAAATTTGGCAACTTATGTAATTGAATGTGCTCTATCTTTTTTATATAAACACCAAAGAAGGTTTATGTGAAAGAAACTGTTCAAATGATGAGTCGGACTCTTTGCCATTTTAACCAGCTGCGTTTGAAAGTTCATAAACTCCACGAAAGAAAAGCTTTGTGGAATCTCTCAAAAGTGATTTTGTAGAGAAATAGTGGATCCTTTTGATGAAACAAAACGTTTATTTAAAGAAGGCTTTATGTGTGCAAAAAGTGTCTTTCAAGTTTGGCGCCGACTCATTCTCCCCAACCCAATAGGTCTATTGAATCGGATCCGATCAAAGTCAACAAAACTTTTAACCTAAATCGTTAGTTCGAGTTACAATAAACCGTTTATCAACAAAAATGTACATGTACAAAAAAAACTACGTCAGATAAAGTGGTTTTAAAAAAAATATAGTGCCCTCAACCCCACAAATATCCAAAAACATTGATCGTAATCATTTCATAACGCTTTTGTTTATAATAAAAAATACGAAGCATTTTATCAAATTTCAAGTTATCAATTTATAAATTTAATTGCTACGCTTTAGAGAAATCAATTTTAATCAATTATTTTCTAAATCAATTTTTAACTAATTTCCTCATCTCTTATCTCAATCAAAGATTCGTCTTAAAAATTTGTTTTCCAAATTTTTTTGATTAGAATCAATTTCAGCTGTCATTTAGCTGATAAACAACTGTTTAAAATGGAAATTTTATCGCTTATTAATTGGAATTTTTCTAAAAAAATTCATTGGTATGACCCAGCACGAATAAATAAATAAAATCTAGAGAAAAAAAGAAAAACATCTGCATAAACAAGCTTGACTTATGTTATCTGGTTGATCCTGATCATTTTGAGCGGCTGATGTAAGAGACTAAGCCATGGTAGGAGTTTGCATCCAAATTATGATTTTAGCACAATTTTTCTTTTTCTTGTGTTTCGTACCTCCTTCTTTCCTACTTCTTCTTTATTTATCTATTATTTACCTACCATAAATACTCTAAACGAAGCCCCTATAGAAGCATCGCGTAGTTTAAGCTTACTTTCAAGTAAACGCTAAAAATTTACTAGTAAAAGCGAAAAATTGAGGCTTTTCTGGAGTAATTCGATGCGCTGAGTACGAATTTCGACCTCCCAGATGTCGGTTTTGTTTTGCGTTTTGCGATTTTTAAAGGTTTTGGAAAAAACTTATGTTATCTGGTTGATCCTGATCATTTTGAGCGGCTGATGTAAGAGACTAAGCCATGGTAGGAGTTTGCATCCGAATTCTGATTTTAACACAATTTTTCTTTTTCTCGCGTTTCGTACCTTCCTCTTTCCTACTCCTTCTTTACTTATCTACTATTTACCTGTCATAAATACTCTATCAAGCTGGAGAAAGCGATTGGAAAGGGAAAAGCGGGGAAACTTTTAGCATACTTCTAAGAATTTACCAGTAAAAGCGAAAAATTGAGGCTTTTCTGGAGTATGGCTTTTCTGGAGATGCGCTGAGTACGAATTTCGACATCCCAGAGCTGAATTTTGCGATTTTTCAAGGTTTTCGACAAAACTTATGTTATCTGGTTGATCCTGATCATTTTGACCGGCTGATGTAAGAGACTAAGCCATGGTATTTGTTTGCATCCAAATTCTGATTTTAACAAAATTTTCCTTTTTCTCGTGTTTCGTACCTCCTTCTTTCCTACTCCTTCTTTATTTATCTACTATTTACCTGCCATAAATACTCTAAACGAAGCCCTTCTAGAAGCATCGCGTAGTCTAAGTTTACTTTCAAATAAACGCTAAGAATATACCAGTAAAAGCAAAAAAAAATGAGGCTTTTCTGGAGTAATTGGATGCGCTGCGTACGAATTTCAACATCCCAGAGCCGGGTTTTTCGATTTTTCAAGATTTTTCAAGGTTTTTCAAGATTTTTGACAAAACTCATGTTATCTGGTTGATCCTGAGCATTTTAAGCAGCTGATGTAAGAGACTAAGCCATGGTATTTGTTTGCATCCAAATTCTGATTTTAACAAAATTTTTATTTTTCTCGCGTTTCGTACCTTCTTCTTTCCTACTCCTTCTTTACTTATCTACTATTTATCTATCATAAATACTCTAATCTTAGCCCTTATAGCCCGTAGTCTAAGTTTACTTTCAAATAAACGCTCATATCTAGATAAATGAAATATCGAGAAAAGAAAAAGGAAAACAGCTGGATAAACAAGCTTGACTCAATTATTTTTCATTCCTTTTCTATTAAAAAGTGAACTTTATTGTCTGAAATTTCAATTTCGGATTTAATTTTCAGATTTTTAATCTTCAATTCACGTTCTTCGATTCTTAATTCTTTTTTTGACTATTTTTCTACTAGAATGTGGTAATTTGAATATCGACGAGGACTCAAGAGGACAAGAGCCTTCTCTTCAACTACTAGATTTGCACAAACGGGTACTGTAATTTAAATACGAGACAGTAACTTGAGTAGTAACTTGAGTTTTAGGTTTTTTCGACAAACGGGTAAATTCTTCGAAAATCTTCACGCTAATCGCTTGGATGCACTCCAGAATGGTGTCTCGATCGACGCTCGGGCTCCTCGCACTGCTCCTCGTCGCTCTACCCCTACCGACTCTTTCCATCGATAAAGCCGCCTTGAAGTTGGTTTTAAAGAATTCTTTTTTTAAAAAATGGTTATGCTGGAGGTCACAGTAGACTTCTATTTTGTAAAATCTTTATTTAAGCGAAAATTAAGAAACTAATTTTTGTGAAGGGAAACTTTTGAAACTTTTGATGTAAGTGTTAAGCTAGAGAATGAAAATACTTTCAATGTCCTTTGTGCATGCCATGATTGTCGTAGAGGACTTTTAGAACAGAGGTTTTCTTTACAGACACAAAGGTTGATGGTAGAAGAGGGAGAGGGGAGTGGGAGAGGTGAAAGAACCGGTTCTGGTTCTCTCTCAAGGGCAATTCGCACTCAAATCAATGCTCATGGTCAATAGAAAATGTAAATATTGAGAAATCTCTTAATAGTAGTGAAATCGAGGTCGAGTAGAGTACAGCGGTGTACTTTGTGCTTAAGATTTGTGAACGTCTCCTTCTAGTGCAGTGAATTCTGCATAAACAAGTAGTTTTGGTTGCAAGAAAATGAAGAATTTAATGTATTAGAAAGGTTGGGTTTACACTTTGAACATCAATTTTGCAAGAATATGCATCAAAAAGTTGATTTGATTACAATAAACTCACTGCTACAGAAAGCTAAATTACTATATCATAAAAGTTAACCTAGTTACAGTAATCTCAATCTTTAAAGCCATAAATGATTACTGTAATCGGCTAAATAGCTAAAAAGCCTTAAATGGTTACTGTAACCAGCTAAACAGCTAAAAAAAGCCTTAAATGATTACTGTAATCGGCTAAATAGCTAAAAAAAGCCATAAATGATTACTGTAATTGGCTAAACTGCTAAAAAGCCTTAAATGATTACTGTAATTGGCTAAATAGCTAAAAAAGCCTTAAATGATTACTGTAATTGGCTAAATGGCTAAAAAGCCTTAAATGATTACTGTAACCAGCTAAACGACTACAAAGCCTTAAATGATTACTGTAACCAGCTAAACAGCTAAAAAAGCCTTAAATGATTACTGTAATCGGCTAAATAGCTAAAAAAGCCTTAAATGATTACTGTAATCGGCTAAATAGCTAAAAAAAGCCATAAATGATTACTGTAATTGGCTAAACTGCTAAAAAGCCTTAAATGATTACTGTAATTGGCTAAATAGCTAAAATTTACGTATAAAAACAACGCTATGGTGTAAAATCGAAATTTGATCAGTTAAACTCAAAATTTCTAACTCTAAATAACTAGTTACTGTAATAGATGAAATCAATAGATAATATTTCAGAAAAGAAGCTTACGAAATGTTCATGCACGGCTATCGATCGTACATGCGATACGCCTGGCCGGCTGACGAATTGATGCCTTTGAGTTGCAAGGGAAGACAACGAGGCGTCACTCCGTCGAGGGGAGATGTCGATGAGGCGCTGGGAAAGTGAGTGGTGACATCCAGGATAGAACATAGAGTTGATGAAAATGTGAGAGCTTTGAAAAGAAGCCCCATACAAGTGTGAACTCCTTCCAAGTGCTGGAATGGCAGAGCTTTGAAGAGATTGAATAGTTGATTGAATAGCTTATTGCAAATAGAATCTAAATTTAGTTTTACTTGAAACTATTCTCTTTCAGCTTTTCTCTGACGCTCGTAGATGCTTTGGACACTCTCTACGTGGTCGGCGAATTTGAGGAATTCGCGAAAAGTGTCAAATTGGTAGATTCTCAAAAATCATTCATCCATTTTCATGCATGACATCCAGATCTCGCAATTCACTCATTAAACCTCTCTTCAGATTGTCGACAATGTGCGTTTCGACTCGGACATCGTTGTCTCTGTGTTTGAGACAAACATTCGCATGTTAGGCGGTTTGATTTCGGGTAAGCGGCTCGTTCTGGATATCACAGAAGCTAGATTTCAACTGAAAACTTAATATTATCAACTTTAAAATTTTTGCATGCCAAGTATAACAGCAGTTTGTCATTTTTTGCAAAAATTCTTCTTGTGGACTGTTTCTAGAGCTGTTGTGCGATCCAGGATGTTCATTCCACAAAACTATTTAGGTCATTTGATGGCCGAGCGCTTGCGAGGACAAGACGAACGATATCTACAATGGTATACTGATCGACAGTTGCTGAAAATGGCAATTGATTTGGCTGATCGTTTATTGCCCGCCTTTAACACTTCATCAGGGATTCCGTTTGGAAAGGTTAGTTAGATTTTTGGAGATGAGACTGGATACTAGACTGGATACTAGACTGGAGACTAGACTGGATCTTAGACTGGAGACTAGACTGGAGACTAGACTGGAGACTAGACTGGATACTAGACTGGATACTAGACTGGATACTAGACTGGAGACTAGACTGGAGACTAGACTGGAGACTAGACTGGATACTAGACTGGAGACTAGACTGGAGACTAGACTGGAGACTAGACTGGAGACTAGACTGGATACTAGACTGGATACTAGACTGGATACTAGACTGGAGACTAGACTGGAGACTAGACTGGAGACTAGACTGGATACTAGACTGGAGACTAGACTGGATACTAGACTGGATCTAGACTGGTACTAGACTGGAGACTGACTGGAGACTAGACTGGATACTAGACTGGATACTAGACTGGGGACTTGGCTGGATCTTAGACTGGATCTTAGACTGGATCTTAGACTGGATCTTAGACTGGATACTAGACTGGATACTAGACTGAATCCTAGACTAGATCTTAGACTAGATCTTAGACTAAATCCTAGACTGGATCCTAGACTTTTTAAGCCTTATTTTAGTGATATATATTAAATTAAGTTACATTACATTAAATTACTATTGTGATTACCTCTAAATTCAGATCAATCTCCGCCATGGAATGCTCGAGTATTTGAAAAGACAAAAGGACACGTGCACGGCTTGTGGAGGGACATTGTTGCTCGAGTTCGCTGCGTTGAGTCGGTAAGTCACACATCGAGTACAAATATGTGTGAAAGTCGAAAATCTGAACCCGAAAAAGTCTAGTGTGACATCCAGATAAAAGAAGAAACGCGTTTAAAATCAGAATTGCTCTCGTCAATTTCTCGGAATAATCGCAAACTCTCGACAGTGCGGTATTTTGAAAAATTGATAAGAGCAATTCTATTTCTATTGCGTTTTTTCTTGTATCTGGATGTCACACTAGATTTTTTAAGGTTCGGATTTTTGATTTTTGTCTTTTTTGGATTATTTGGATTTGAGTCAGTGAATTTGAAGACTAGGCTTGGCTTCAGGCTTGGCTTCAGGCTTGGCTTCAGGCTTGGCTTTAGGCTTGGCTTCAGGCTTCAGACTTGGCTTCAGGCTTCAGGCTTGGCTTCAGGCTTGGCTTCAGGCTTGGCTTCAGGCTTGGCTTTAGGCTTGGCTTCAGGCTTCAGGCTTGTCTTCAGGCTTGTCTTCAGGCTTGGCTTCAGGCTTGGCTTTAGACTTGGCTTCAGGCTTCAGGCTTGTCTTCAGGCTTGTCTTCAGGCTTGGCTTCAGGCTTGGCTTCAGGCTTGGCTTTAGGCTTGGCTTCAGGCTTCAGGCTTGGCTTCAGGCTGTCCTAGAACACACAGTCAAACATGACTAATAAGCTAGGGCTTGACTTCTGTTTTATCTGGATCCGGAAAGTAAGAAGAGTCAGGCCAGGGCAGGGTTAAGATCAAAGCACTTTCTAGAGCCAGTCTCTAGAGTTTAACCAGGCTGGACTTGGCTTATCGACTTACCTGACCTGGCTACAGAATCAGATTGTAAGTAGGCTTAGGGCCAGACTGAAATAGAAGCCACATAGCGAAAAGCCAGCTATTGAAATGATTATATTATTTCAGCCTTACCGGCAATCCAATCTACGAGGAGAAAGCGAAAAAAGCGATGGATTTTCTCTGGGCACAAAGACATCGGTGAGCTTGAAATTAACTCAAGAAACATTTAAATTACATCTCCTAATAAAATCGGCTTTCTTTAGAGCCTCCGATCTGATGGGCACCGTTCTCAATGTTCATTCTGGAGACTGGGTTCGACGGGGTGAGTCCTATAAATAGCATTGATTTAAACATTGATTTAGACATCCAAATCAATAGCGTGACATCCAAAAAAAGCTTTAGACTCGGGCATTGGTGCTGGAATCGACTCGTACTATGAGTATTGTCTCAAGGCCTATATTTTGCTTGGAGATCACAGCTATTTAGAGCGATTTAATAAGGTTTTTAGAAAAGCTTTTTAAATATTTGTAAATCGTGGATGTCAGGCAAATCAAACTTTAGCATTACGATGCGGTGATGAGATATGTGAACAAAGGACCATTTTTCGTTGACGTTCATATGCATCGACCAACTGTGGCAACTCGGTAAGAGTTAATTTGGAAGTCCTAGAAGTCCTAGAAGCCCTGGAAGCCCCTAAGGTCATGCTAGACGTTTAATTTAATATTTTAGTTCATTCATGGATGCACTGTTAGCCTTTTGGCCTGGATTACAAGTGTTGAAGGGAGATGTGCGAGAGGCAATCGAAATGCACGAGATGCTCTTCCAAGTGGTTAAGGTAGGCGCTGTGTGTTCCAGAACGATCAAATCTAAAGAGAAAAATCATTATTGCACCCGTTTAGCGTCACAAATTCTTGCCAGAAGCGTTCACGCACGATTTTCAAGTTCACTGGGCTGAGCATCCATTAAGACCGGAATTTATCGAGTCAACTTATTTTTTGTATCGATCAACACACGATGAGCATTATTTAGAAGTGGCTAAATTGGTGAGTTTTATCAAAAAATTTAAACGAACTTTTGTTCAACGCTTTTTCCTCATTTTCTTATAAAACCAAGCCATTTCTAGTGCCAGAAAAGCCAGAAAAAAAGAACTGAGTACACCAGAAAGGCTGCGTTTAACATACACGATTCAATTCCAGGTGATGGACAGTTTAAATGAGAACGTGAAAGTCTCTTGTGGCTTTGCTGGGATCAAAGACATTCGAACGATGGCTCACGAGGATCGGTGAGTGCAAATCTCAATCCACAACCAGCATTGTCAATCCTGGAACGCACAATCTCAATTCCGATTTCAGAATGGACTCCTTTGTGTTATCGGAAACATTCAAGTATTTGTACATGATCTTTTCGGAGCCTGAGGATCTTCCACTCGATCCCGATCAATATGTCATGACTACAGAGGCTCATTTTCTTCCGCTAAGTATGGCGAATCCATTTGGGGATGAGGTGAGAGAATTTGCATTAAAAAGATTGACATCGACGACCGACGATATCGATCGACCGACGATATCGATCGATATCGATCGACGATCGACAGATTTAAGACAGAGATCTTACAGATTCCCCGTAAGATCATTTTCGATGCAAAGGGTGAAGAAGAGGTCGACATGGCTAAAGCACAACACGCGAATCCAGTGAGTTGCGAGTGTTCAGATCCCTTGCCAGATCCCTTGCCAGTGATTTCTAGCCAGTGTTCAGATCTCTAGCTAGTGTTCAGATCTCTTGCCAGTGTTCAGATCTCTTTCCAGTGATCAGATCTCTAGCCAGTTCAGATCTCTAGCTAGTGTTCAGATCTCTAGCCACTGTTCAGATCTCTAGCCAGTTCAGATCTCTAGCTAGTGTACAGATCTTCCACTGTCCAGATCTCTAGCTAGTGTACAGATCTCTAGCCAGTGTTCAGATCTCCAGCCAGTTCAGATCTCTATCCCATCTCTTGCCCACAACTCAAATCTTTCTTTCTTTTCTTTTCAGTGGTCTCACCGGGATCGCCTTGACGCCGATCTCCCAAAGAAGATTCGCGAGCGAACGAAGAGCGTTTTAGAAGAAGTCGCTGTTTTACAAGCTCAACATGGACAAACCGGTGCACAATGTATGAAACCGTAAGTGAATTTGTCAAAGCTGGAAGCTTTTGAGCTGTCGAAGCTCAAAGATCTCGAAAGAGTCAATTAGAGTCAATTATATTAAAAGAAAACATCAAATTTTGAAAGCAATCATTTTTCCCAAGAAACAACTCATAAAAAGCTATCAAAACTTTCCCAGGATTCAATCTGGAACTCACACTTGAATTCTGGTTGATAAAAACTAAGATTTAAAGGGATTTTTGGTTCTTTTCCCAACTAGGTACGGAGTAAATGGCCTCTCCAGCCCCCAAAGAGAGATCTCTCTGTGGCGTATTGGTAGTGGTCTCCACTCCGGCGCTGACGGACCCGGGTTCGATCCCCGCCATGGTCAACTGTGTGTGATGAAAACAGATAGGGACATCAGCAAAGCAAATCTGTTGACCATCTGAATAGTAGAGCTGACACAGTTTTTTGTTTTTGGGAATTCTGAGAGAATTTGGGCAACTTGTAAATGAATCGACTTTAACTTCAAGCAATTAGATTTCAAGTGTGCATTCCAGATTGAAGTTTGGATCGATTGAAAAGTTGTTTGTAGTTGTTAAAACAAGAGAATCGTTGAGGTAACGAAAATTGGATAATCGAGAAATTTAGAATCAAAGTAAACCTATTTTTTTGTATTCTAGACTTGAGTGTGCGTTCCAGATTGACCTTTAGAAAGATTAAAAAGTCGTTTGTAGTTGTTAAAACAAGAGAATCATTGAGCTAACGAAAATTGGATAACCAAGACATTTAGAATCAAAGTAAACCTATTTTTTTTGTATTCTAGACTTGAGTGTGCGTTCCAGATTGAACTTTAAAAGGGTTCAAAAGCAATTTTTAACTATTTTAAGCATAGATCTACTCGAGGTAATGACTGTTGAGTAATTGAACGACTTTTTCGTGTATTTTCCCCTTTCAGTTCCGAGCGTTTGAAAGCGTGGGCGTTCAACGCGCAAGACTCGGAGCATTTGCGACAATTGCGGCAAATGGGAATCGAATTACAAGTGCAAACGGACGGCCGAATACAGCTCAGCCATCAATCGACAAATGTGAGTCGACAAAATCGACAAATAAACAAATTCTAAGGAAAAGAAAAGAAAATCAAAGTACTTAGACATGCAAAAATCGAGTTTTAAAAGCGGTTTTGGGCATTTGAGCCAAATTTTCATTGATCAATGACCAAAAATCGTTACCCCTCAGTTTTACTGCTTTAAAAGAGAGTTCTAGAAAAAAGATTGCTGCTAGCATTCAAGCTGGAAGTCACACTAGCTAAAGCACTACGAGATTTTAGACAATTGTTGATTTTGTTTTTTTTCTGTCAGTCTTGGAGCTGACAACCTTCGAATTTTAAAAACTACAAATTTCGTTAAAAAAACTTTCAAATCTGCTTTTGTGCATTCCAGCTTGAACGTTAAAAGCACTATTTTTGATTAGAATTCAATTTTTGAAGCTTTACAACGAAGGAATTGCTTGAAATCGTCACCCCTCAGTTTTACTGCTTTAAAAGATGAGTTCTGGAAAAAATATTGCTTCTAGCATTCAAGCTGGAAGTCACACTAGCTAAAGCACTACGAGATTTTAGACAATTGTTGATTTTGTTTTTTTTTTCTGTCAGTCTTGGAGCTGACATCCTTCGAATTTTAAAAACTGCAAATTTCGTTAAAAAAACTTTCAAATCTGCTTTTGTGCATTCCAGCTTGAACGTTAAAAGCACTATTTTCGACCAGAATCCAATTTTTAAAGCCTTACAACAAAGGAAATGCTTTTGTTGAAGTTTCTCACGAGTTCTCACGAAATTCTGCCTCTAAATGCACTAGTGTTTGAAGAAAACCCGAATCCTGGATGGCATTTTGTGATTTGGTGATGTTCTTGTTTATCCGTTGTCGATTTTTGGAGTTTGCACCGGAAACAGCGACTCGCTTGAGTTTTTTTCGTGAAATCAAAGCGCCAATTTTTTAAATTCCAATTTTTTTAGCGAATCTGGAAGTCACAAAAGAAAGTTTTTCAAAAATTTTCCAAAAAATCGCGCTTTTTCTAATCTCGATTCTGGTAAGGTTTTGACTAACCAATTTTTGTGTTATTGCCCAGCTTTTCTTATTTAATTTGGCGCACTGAGTCTCCATTTCACTGCACAAGTCTACAAAAACTCTAAAACAAACGATTCAAAACCAAAAAATTAAAAAAAAAGCGAGTCGTTGTCTTTAAAACGATTGCAAATGAAAAATAGTGATTTCTAAAGTTTTTTAAGAATTTCTGAAACTTTATTTGATCAATCTGGATGTCACGCAAGCTTTTCCATGATTTAACTTTCGTCTAAAACCAATTTCTAACAACCCGTCCATAGTTTGGTGTTGTAGTCAAGGCAAAACTACCTCCTAGCACTTCAATTTCAAACCCATTCCCTCCCGTGACATCCAGAACCAACAAAAACTTCATTTGCAATCGCTTTAAAGTGATCGGGTGCGTAAATTTCAGGGCGAGATCGTTTCGTGTCTACTCGACGAGGAAACCTCATCGAATCACTGGCTTTTCTCCTCGTCGCCCCATCAAAAGGGTTTCCCGCAACCACCGCAAGCCATCGGGCAAATGCTTTCTCTTTTGATGTTAGTGGTATTGTTGTGGGTTTGTCTCATGCTCACCACAGCGCTCATCATTTGCGCATCCGCTGTCGGCTACCGAATTCTTTTCCTAAAACCCAAACCGCCTACTGTAGCCATCCCCGAAGCTGAGCGCTCGAAAATCCACGAATCTGAGCGCCCAAAAGTCGAATAGAAACCGTTTCGGTTCAATTTCCGGTTCAATTACCCAACCTTTACCTGATCAAAGCCATTTCTTCACACCCATTTGTAAAATGAATTTTCTAATCATTTAAAACATCAATCTGGAACCACCTGTAAAAAAGCCCATAAGACAGGACGCCCACGATTACCGTGCGGTCGGATTCACCCAAAACTCCAGGCAACAATATTTTCTAATCATTTAAAACATCAATCTGGAACTCACTCTGTAAATTCAAGGCTTCATAAGATCTAGGAATGACCTTCAATTCCGGTTCATTTACTCGGTTTTAGTCAGTCGTGATTTTTCACCCAAAACCCCAGGCGACAATATTTTTAATCATTTAAAACTTCAATCTGGAACGCACCCTGTAAATTAAAGCCTTCAAATAAGCTAAGAACTACCTTTAATTTCCGTTTATTTACTCGGTTTGAGTCGGTCGAGATTTTTCACCTAAAACTCCAGGCGACAATATTTTCTAATCATTTAAAACATCAATCTGGAACACACCCTGTAAATTAAAGCCTTTAAAAAAGCTAAGAACGACCTTCAATTCCGGTTCATTTACTGGGTTTGAGTTGGTCGAGATTTTTCACCCAAAACTCAAAACCTACAAGCTCTCTTGCCACTTTTTTGCAATCATGGATATCACCCATTCTTTAGAATACAGTATTTAAATGATCTCGACAAGTCTCGGTTCATTTACCCAACTCGATTCGAGTCCCTCAGAAATCCCCGGCTTAAAATCGAAATCCGCGAGTTTCTATTCGACTTTTTCCCCATCCTGGATATCACCCATTCCCAGATTATCATTTTCATAACTTTTATGTCAATTCTTTAACTTTTTTTTCAATTTCTGTTCTTCAGGGGTTTTCTCACTTTTTTTTGTTTTCAATTGTCCAAAATTGCCTTTTCTTGAATTTTTTCGAGGTTTTCAACGAATATATTCAATTGCATAGTCATTTTGACGGGTTTTCTTAAAAAAAATAGTGGCTTCAACAATGCAGAACTGTGTATTTTTTCTAAAATTGACTTCAGTCCAAAATCTCCCGTTTCCTACGAGATACCGTAATCTTTTCTCAAAATTCCGCCAATCTGGGAGGCACTTTAGCTTTCTATCAAAAAAGATTACGATAATCGGTGACTTTTTTTTTCGTCTGTGATTTCGTGGATCGAGTACCGTAATCGAAAATTTCAAAGGTGGAAAAGCTACAGTAATCTGTTTTGCAAATTACGGTGTGCCTTCCAGCTTTTCCATTGCCAAACGTTGTGATTCATTTACACGAGTTTTTCGGTTGTTTTAGTCGTCGATAGTGTTTCGAGGTGTAAAAATGCTGTAGATAGGGTCAAAAATCTAATAAAGCTATTAAAAAAAAGGAGAAATACACAGAAAACACAGAAAACAGTTAGAATTCGATTTCTGAAATGATTTTTGGTGAAATTTTAGGCATTATCGGATGAATTGGCGAAATGGGGAGTCGAATTCATGAAAGAAGTCGTCGAGATGTCCAAGAAGTTGGCCGAAAAAACGGGTGAGTGAAAAATCAAGAAAAGTATTGCTTTTTATCATTTATTCTTTTCCTGTGCACTCCAGGATTCACATTTTCGATATCAAAATTTGAAAAAACATTAAAGAATAACATTTAAAACGAAGCCAATTGAAATTCGTCTAAACGATAAATTAGAAACGTAACCAAAAGTAGAATTTGAAAGTTTCCAATTGCTTCGTGCCTTCCAGGATTCACGATTTCGATATTAAAATTTGAGAAAAGCTTCGAGAATAACATTTAAAACGAAGCCAATTGAAATTCGTCAACATAACAAATTAGAAACGTAGTAAAACATAGAAATTTAAAATTTCTTATTTCTTTGTGCCTTCCAGGATTCACATTTTCGTTATTAAAATTTTAAAAAAGCTTCAAGAATAACATTTGAAACGTCTTCGTTCGTCTACACAAAAAACTAGAAACGTAGTTAGATTTCGGATTGATCAGATATTTTCAAGCTCAAGTCAAGGACGCTCGGGCTTAGGTCCAGGCCTGACTTCTGGGGTTCAGGGATTTGTTGTCTGAAGGCAAACCAGAACCTGACTTCAAGTCTGGCTCAGAAGCTTTATCTTTGGTTGTAAAGTCGAATTTTAAACTTTCCAATTGCTTTGTGCCTTCCAGGATTCACATTCTCGTAATCAGATTTTAGAAATCATTTCCCATTCAGAACAAATTCAACCAGACTACTATGTGCAGTTGCTTTCGTTGAAAAATCAAGAAAAATATTGGTTTTTATCATTTATTCTTTTCCTGTGCACTCCAGGATTCATATTTTCGTTATTAAAATTTGAGAAAAGCTTCAAGAATAGCATTTAAAACGAAGCCAATTGAAATTCTTCAACACAACAAATTAGAAACGTAGTAAAAATAGAATTTTAAACTTTCCAATTGCTTTGTGACTTCCAGGATTCACATTCTCGTAATCAGATTTCAGAAATCATTTCCCATTCAGAGCAAATTCAACCCGACTACTATGTGCAGCTGCTTTCGTTTCCCTATTTGGGCAAGCCAGTCCTTCTAGCGTCACCAGCACAATTCGGGAAATCGCTGGACGAGGCATCGGTTTGTTTTAAGCAAAAGCACTTACTCTATATTCTTAATTTTGCAAATTTCTTCATAAAGACCAAAATTTCGGTTTAAATTTGATAAAAAAAAGCTTAAATATCGAAATTTGATAAGGAAAAGTGTTAAAAATTCGACTTTCTATTTTCAGATCGAAGCCGAATTGATTCTGGCCGAGCCATTCGCCGCATGTGGTCCGCTAATGAACGCGCCGCAAGCAAAAGGGAAAATCGTCGGCGTTCACCGAGGCGATTGCATGTTTCAAGTAAAAAAAGCATTGGATTTAGAATGAATTCTAAAATTTAATGTCATTTTTGATAATCCTGGATGTCACAGATGACTCTGAGCTGTTCCACAGTTGAAATGATTCAAAAGAAAGAAAATTCTCCACTACAGTACTCTAGACGGCTATTTTCTCGATTAAGAATGAATTCTATAAGGTTTAATGTCATTTTTGATAATCCTGGATGTCACACAGTACTCTGAGCTGTTGTACAGTTGAAATAAGTCAAAAGGAAGAGAATTCTAACTTTTGCCCAACTACAGTACTCTTGGAGGCTATTTTCTCGATTTTCTCGATGAATTCTATAAAATTTAATGTCATTTTTGATAATCCTGGATGTCACAGATGACTCTGAGCTGTTTCACAGTTGAAATGATTCAAAAGAAAGAAAATTCTCAACTACAGTACTCTAGGCTGCTATTTTCTCGATTAAGAATGAGGTTTAATATCATTTTCCATAATCCTGGATGTCACACACTGCTCTGAGCTGTTGCACAGTTGAAATAAGTGAAAAGAAAGAAAATTCTAACTTTTGCTCAACTACAGTAATCTAGACGGCTATTTTCTCAGAAATTGACTTATTAAATGCAAAATTCAAATGAAAATTCAAGAATTTTGATTGATTTCTGGTACAAAAACAATCAAAAACCACAATTTTTCTTTTAGGAAAAGGCTCGAAATGCGCAAAATGCTGGCGCTGTTGGAGTCATTGTCATTGGTGAGTTATCAACGATTTAGAAAACGAAAAATGATTTCCAAATGGCCTACCATAACCCTTATGGCCCTAAATGGCCTACCATAACCCTTATGAACCGTTTTAGAAAACGTTTTAGACGTTTTAAACCCGGCACCTCAGCTTAGGCTTAGTGCGAAGGCTTGCTAGCCTTCACTAGCGCTAACTAGCGCCTCGCACTAAGTTTATTTGGGTTTGGGCTGAACCCCCATTTCGGTTACGCTTAGGCTTGAGCCATTCAAGGCTTGCTTTAGGCTTACTATAGACTACAGTAGGTTTAAGCTTAGGTTTAGGCTATTCTAGACTTGCTCTAGACTTACTGTAGGCTATTCTAGACTTGCTTTAGGCCTACAGCAGACTACAGTAGGCTTAAGCTTAGATTTAGGCTATTCTAAGCTTGCTCTAGCCTTATTATAGTCTACTGTGGGCTACTGTAGGCTACTGTGGGCTACTGTAGGCTTACTGTAGCTGTAGTTTCAAAATGCTGTAGATACGGCAAGTTTCGAGCATTCACCTCATTGTATTTTGTAAGTTCAGTAAGCTCATTTGTAATTGTAATAATTGTAAGTTCAGTAAGCTCCTCTCAACTAATGTCCTTTCTAAAAAGTGCCAACCTTTGCGGCAGCTTTTACGGAGTACGGTACTAAAGGATTACCGTGGCTTTCATAAAGTTGCGGTAATAGAGTTGTCTCGTAAAAAATCTCGTACTTGTCAGGCAGGCGAGTTTTGAGTTCCCATTTTCTGGATCTCAGCCAGTTCTCGGAGCTAAGGCACACCCGTTTTAGGCTTAGTCTTAGGCTTAGGCTTCGGCTTAATCTTAGGCTCAGACTCAGGCCTAGGCTTAGGCTTAGTCTGGCTCTGTTGGAGTCATTGTCATTGGCCATATCAACAGTTTAGAAAACGAAAAATGATTTTAAAATACGTTAAATGGCCTACCATAACCCTTATGAACCGTTTTAGACAATAAACCCGGCACCTCAGCCGATAAAACTCAGCCATTTGCTATGTCAGGCGATCTCGATAAAGAAGACGACATCACAATCCCAGCGGTTCGTTTTTAGCCCCTACACGTGTTCAAGTTCAGATCAAAAGCTGTAGTGCGTTCCAGATTGAAAGATCTCTCGTCTAAATCCGAATTTCTAGGTTTTCCTCTTCCGAAACGAGGGCCAACAACTCCTCTCCCCTCCCCCGACACGGACACCGATTTTCCTTCGAATCACACTCAAACCTTATGAAGAGGGTGCGTGCTGCGTGCCAGCATTTCCCAATTTCTATTCTAATTTTAGATTCTGTTGTGGAAAGCTATCTGAAATGGGGTCCAAGAGTCGCTCAGAAGCCGACTTTCCCGGTTAGTTTAGAATTTAAAAACTATGTTACTTTATCAACTTCAAAATACAGTGTGCGTTCCAGGATCACTGACAAACGCGAAAATTTCTAGAAATGCTTTTTGGAAGAGGGGTATTTTGTGAGAGTCGAGCCACCAGGTGATGCGATCACTTTCCAATTTCGGTTAGCTGGAGTCAATCAAGACAGCGATCCGTTAGAGCACCAGGGGGTAGGCTGACATCCAGGATTTCGAAATAACTCAATAGATTGTCGAGCGTCACGTCGGAAATCTCTTGGACGTTGTCGAGTTCTCAAACCTCCAAAATCAGCAGGTATAAAAGGGGATTTAAATGTGGGAAATTGAATTTCTAGCCATGCTGGATGTCACGAAGTTATAAAATTTCAAAATTTAGACGTTTTTCAACTTTTTGAGGACATCGGCCTATGGAGCGTTGGGGTTGAATGTCAAAGATGAACCACTCGAACCGATTCTCAAAGTTTTAAAGGTTAGTGCGTGCTGTGACTTCCAGATTGCTCAAATTAAAAAAAAAATTAGCATACAAATTAGTTTTATGTGGATTTCTGTTGCCCGAATTTTTCGAGATTGAATTGGGGTTTAAATGTTAATTTTTGATTAAATGCTAATTTTAGATTAAATGCTAATTTCTGATTAAATGTTAATTTTTAATTAAATGCTAATTTTTGATTAAATGCTAAATTTTGATTAAATGTTAATTTTTGATTAAATGTTAATTTTTAATTAAGTGCTAATTTTTGCTTAAATGTTAATTTTTGATTAAATGCTAATTTTTGATTAAATGCTAATTTTTGATTAGATGTTAATGTCGATGGATGAAATTTGAATTTAAAACTTGCAAAACTTAACCCATGCCTTCCAGGATCTCAAACTGCACCGTGAGCCCGCGGATCTCTATCGTCTACTACCCGGCGAGATGACTCGAGTGCGTTGTCAACCGGCCGGTGATGTCATGTCGTGTACAACCGTTTTTTGAGCCTTTTCTGAGCGTCTTCGTCTCAAATGGCCTCCAGAATACCCTTCCACACAATTTTTAGAACCCTCAAATGTCTATTGACCCTACAAATGAGCCAGCCCTCAACCATCCCAGTACCTCACATTCCAGAATATCAATTTTCGTCACCCTGACCTTTTCGTTTCCAATACTGCGCTCCAGGATGAAGCTTTTGGCTTTCAGAATACTCATATCTTCAACGAGAGCTAGTCTATGTTAAAGTTCCCTAAGCCCATTTTAGGACTGGGACAAATCAGTCCCTCCCTTCTCTCAAATGTCAATTCCGTGCTGTGTTTTCACAAATATGGGTGTCATGCTAGTGTTTCGCAATATTCGTTTAGAAAGTTGTGCCATTTCCGCGTGTTATCATTTACAACTCGATCGTATTCCTCTATTGTTGTGATCCGAATAGCGGGCTCTTTAGATTTTTGTTGATTTTGATTTTCAAATTGGAAGTCACCCTGCAGATCTATTTCATTATATTTATTCAATTGGTAAATTTAAAATTTAGTCTTACTGTAAGCGTTGGTTATCTTTTAATTTTTTTTTAAATCCGCAATTTTTCCATTTTTTAGTGCAATTTGGAGAAACTCATTTCAAATTTTTATGCAAATTTCTCTTTAAATGCTACTTTACCTTTAAATGCAAATTCCTCTTTAAATGGAAATTCGTCTTTAAATGTAAATTTATCTTTAAATGCAAATTCCTCTTTAAATGGAAATTTCTCTTTAAATGTAAATTTTTCCTTAAATTGAAATTCCTCTTTAAATGGAAATTTCTTTTTAAATGCAATTACTTAAAATGGAACGCTAGTGTCTTAGCAACCTTTAAATGTAAATTTCTCTTTAAATGTAAATTTCTCCTTAAATTGAAATTCCTCTTTAAATGGAAATTTCTTTTTAAATGCAAATTTCTCTTTAAATGCAAATTTATCTTTAAATGCAAATTTCTCTTAAAATGGAAATTCGTCTTTAAATGTAAATTTCTCTTTAAATGTAAATTTCTCTCCGAAAATTCGCTCGTGTGCTAAAATGTTCGTTCTGTGCCTTCGGTGATGAAAATTTTGTATAGAAATAAAAATTTCGAAATTTTTTTGAAAGTTTTCTAAATCCTGGAAGGCACTACAAATTTTGCAAGCAAAAGTTTTTCAAAAAGTCAAAAACGAAAAAAGTTGGTCTTTTGATACGTAAAAATTTGGATAAAATTTTCCGATTTCCAGATGTTTAGCTAGTGTGCGTTCCAGCTTGGCGAGAAATCTTGGGAAAAGGTGAGAAAATCGATGGTTGATACATTTTTTATCATTCGATTGGATCTCGGATAGAAAAAGACGGAAACCGTCAAACGTTTAAAAAACGGGGTGTCTCATTTCTTTTTTGCAAAAAAAATACGAAACATTTTTTGTTTTAAAAGCTTTCCAAGAGATTTTTTTTTGATTTCCTAAAGATTCTGACATAAAAGAAAGATTTCTATTTTATTTTAAAGCTATTAAAAAGTTTGTTTTAAACTTTTTGAAATATTGGATTGGTGAATTGAAAACCAGTACACCACTCCCTCCATATCCGAGAAAACGCAGAGCATAAACTTCTTCTGGTGCAAATCGGGTTTAGGGCCACTTTCGGGTTTCTCGCTTGGCCCCATCCATTGCCACTTCCTTTTGAAAGTTCACAGACAAAACCCATTTCTCATCTCCTATCACAATTCGAGGAAGAAAAGATTTCCTTTTGTATTGTGAGAGATCAGCGGCATTGATGGACGCGCGCTGCCACTTCTGGGGGTCAGTGAGGTCATGGGGCATCCAAGGCAGTTTTTGATTTCAAACTATTGGGTTGGTGAATTGAAAGCTGCGGGACTTTGAACTAAAATTTATTTAACATAAAACCATAAATTCATTTCAAATAATTTCCATTATTATTGATAATAGCTTTAAGAGTAAGTTTGGTATTCGTTAACTTGAGTTAACGTGATTTCCAGTTTCAAGAAAAATTCGTCGAAGAAGCCGATTCAGCATAAACCATCAATTCATTCCAAATAATTTCCAATTTTTTACGCTTTTGCCCTTTTCGGCAATTTGCGGTTCCTCTTTCGTGTGGTTTTGGTTTGTGTGTGGACAATGTGAGACTCAAAATGGGGACTGGAGATGTCTGGAGACCGGAGAGTGCTCAAACGGAGCCCAGTTTGGCACTTTCTTCAAAGCCCATTTTGGTGTCAATGGAAAGTTGTAGAGAATCAAAATTGGCTTATAGCCATTTCCAAAAGATCACTTAGTAGTTTCGCTTAATGCAAGTTTTGTGTTTGGCTTTCTGTGTATTTGGCTTTCTTGAACCAGTTTTTGAATCGTTCTGAAAATTTGGATATGCTTGATTTTTGATTCTCTACAACTTTTCCATTGACACCAAAATGGGTTTCTTTTGAAGAAAGCGCTCAAACAGCCACATATGACAATAGCCAGCAGTTTTCAATTCACCAACCCAATAGCTTGGCCAATGCTAGGCCAGTAATCAGGAATGGTTAGCTAGGTAAGCTAGTAATCAGCTAAGCTAAGCCAGTAATCAGCTCTGCTTTGAATTCTGGCCTGAATATCTGCAGTTTCCAATTCACCAACCCAATAGATGTGCCCCATCACTCATCGATTCACAAAAGGGAATTTAGAACAGAATGATGAGATTTTAAAGTGAAAAAGTTTCGATTTGTTGGATATTTTATAGCCTATAGCTTATAAGCTTATCTTTTTTGCTACCTTTGAGCGCGCCATAAGTACTATTGGGTTGGTGAATTGAAAAAAGCCGGCTTTTGTCATATGTCCCAGTTTGAGCACTTTCTTCAAAAGAAACCCATTTTGGTGTCAATGGAAAAGTTGTAGAGAATCAAAAATCAGGCTTATAGCCAAATTTTCAAAAAGATTCAATAACTAGTTTCTCAAGAAATGCCAAGTTTTCTCTAGGGTTTTGCGAAATTTTCACAAAACTTGGCATTTCTTAAGTGAAACCACTTAGTGTATCTTTTTGGAAATTTGGCTATAAGCTTGATTTTTGATTCTCTACAACTTTTCCATTGACACCAAAATGGGTTTCTTTTGAAGAAAGTGCTCAAACTGACAATAGCCGGCTTTTTTCAATTGACCAATCCAATAAAATCGTTTACAGAATGCCTCTACTTTTGGTTTTTTCGTTATTTTTTCAATTTTCAAATGTGAATGCAAGGATTTCATGCAAAGGAATTAATGGAGAAAGTGTTGATTGGTCAGTTTAAAGAAAATCGCTTTAATTTTAATAAAACTATGTACTTTTGTTTAATTCTTTTTGTTTAATTCTTTCCCAGAAATCTTTCAAATCAAAATTTCTCAGATTGAGCCTTTTACTGGGGACATAGCTCTTAGAAATCTGGCTTTAGCTTAGCCTATTCTTTAGCTTAGCCTATTCAATGCTTTTGCAATGTTCAATGCAATGTTTACAGAAGAATTATGATTCAGGTTTGTCGCTTATAAACTGCCAGAGGGAATCCAAGGGAGTCATGGGTATTCATTTGCATTTGCTGATGCAAAAAATCCTCAATGGACTCTTTCTGATAAAACGATTGATGAGAAAAACTCAGCTATCGGCGCTACAGTATCCCAAGTCTATTCAGACAATGCGGTAAGGGTTTTTTTTCTTAAAAAACCACTAGAATTTAGGCTTTCCGTTTCCTTTACAACGATGACAGTCCATTGAAAGAATCCGATGGGAATCGGTTAGTGTCCTTTGTACTTTGTACTCTAAACAGCTCTCTGTACTTTGTACTTTGTACTTTGTACTCTAAAAGCCTCTTTGTACTCTCTAGCTCTCTAGCCAGAAATGCAGTGCACTAGAAAGTTTACGTTTACAAGCTCACATTTTCCAGTGGACACGCCAAGGGAGTATTGAATTTTGATCGATCAACGGGTTTCTGGATGATCCACTCAGTCCCCAATTATCCACCATTACGTGAGTTTGAAAAAAACTATTATTCTCTAAAAGAATATTGCGAAACACTAGCATGACACCCATATTTATGAAAAAACAGCACGAAATTGAAACTTGAGAGAAGGGAGGGATTAATTTGTCCCAGTCCTAAAACGGGTTTAGGGAACTTTAACATAGACTAGCTCTCGTTGAAGATATGAGTATTCTGAAAGCCAAAAGCTTCATCCTGGAGCGCAGTATTGGAAAGGAAAAGGTCAGGGTGGCGAAAATGATATTCTGGACTGTGAGGTACTGGGATAGTTGAGGACTGGTACATTTGTAGGGTCAATAGACATTTGAGGGTTCTAAAAATTGTGTGGAAGGGTCTTCTGGATGTCATTTGAGCCGAAGACGCTGAGAAAACGGTAGAATATCGCATTTTAGTGTAGTTTATTTAGTTTTAGCCTTTTCCTTATCGTTTTAGCTAAACCTGACCACAAATCAGAGAAATTGCTCTGAGAAAGTTTGAAAAAACTACTATTTTCTAAAAGAAGATAACCAAACACTAGTGTGACATCCATATTTATGAAAACACAGCACGGAATTGACATTTGAGAGAAGGGAGGGGCTGATTTGTCCCAGTCCTAAAACGGGTTTCGGGAACTTGAGCATAAACTAGCTCTTGTTGAAGATATGATTATTCTGAAAACCAAAAGCTTCATCCTGGAGCGCAGTATTGGAAAGGAAAAGGTCAGGGTGGCGAAAATGATATTCTGGACTGTGAGGTACTGGGATAGTTGAGGGCTGGTTGATTTGTAGGGTCAATAGACATTTGAGGGTTCTAAAAATTGTGTGGAAGGATATTCTGGAGGTCATTTGAGGTGAAGACGCTCAGAAAACGGTAGAATATCGCATTTTATACTATAGCCATTTTACAAATGCAAATTTGGATCTATTAGACTATTAAATAGACTATTAGACTTCGTTTTATTAAATTTTAACGGCTTAGTCGATGACAGTAGCCGTTTAAAGCTTTAGCTTACTGTAATTAGGTCAATTTTTACAGCTTTTTGTTTAAAAATGATCGTAGAATCGTTATCGTACTGTAACGGATTACTTTTAATTGACTGACTCTTTAGACTCGTATTCCTATCCAAAGACGGCCACCAAATACGGTCAATCATTTCTCTGCATCACGGTGAGCACGGAGAATTTGAATGCGATTGGCGATCATCTGAAGTACATTCAAGCAACACCCTTCGACATTGGATTGCCCGACGATTTTGCGCAAAAGTTTATGCTTTTTCTGTACTCCTATGCTTTTTCTGTGCAAACACACCCCTTCTAGTGCACTGAATTCTAGAAAAAACACTGTTTATTGATTGATTTCTTCTATTGAGAGTGTAATTCTCAAAAAATGACTGTAAAATGGCAAAAAAGGACTGTAGACTGTAGAATGACTGTAGAATCGTCTTTTTCAGATACCCAGTCCTTCGGACAATCGCTCAGAAGAAATCAATCTCGACATCGACTGTCAAATTCACATTTGAGGCTGAATTAACGACAAAAGGCGGCACTCATTTTCATACTTTTGCTAAGCACAAAAAGTTTAAGAAAGGTAAGGGGAATTTTAGTGAAAAATGATAAGAAGATCAGGAGGGAAGAAGGGAGGAAGAGAGGAAGAGAGGAAGGGAAGAAGGGAGGAAGAGAGGAAGGGAAGAAGGGAGGAAGAGAGGAAGGGAGGAAGGGAGGAAGAGAGGAAGGGAGAAGGGGGAGAGAGGAGGGAAGAGGGGGAGAGAGGGGGAGAAGGGGGAGGGGGGGAGGGAGGAGAGGGGGAGGGGGGAGAGGGGGGGGGGGGGGGGGGAGGGGGGGGGGGGGGAGGGGGGGGGGGGGGGGGGGGGGGGGGGGGGGGGGGGGGGGGGGGGGGGGGGGGGGGGGGGGGGGGGGGGGGGGGGGGGGGGGGGGGGGGGGGGGAGGGGGGGGGGGGGGGGGGGGGGGGGGGGGGGGGGGGGGGGGGGGGGGGGGGGGGGGGGGGGGGGGGGGGGGGGGGGGGGGGGGGGGGGGGGGGGGGGGGGGGGGGGGGGGGGGGGGGGGGGGGGGGGGGGGGGGGGGGGGGGGGGGGGGGGGGGGGGGGGGGGAGGGGGGGGGGGGGGGGGGGGGGGGGGGGGGGGGGGGGGGGGGGGGGGGGGGGGGGGGGGGGGGGGGGGGGGGGGGGGGGGGGGGGGGGGGGGGGGGGGGGGGGGGGGGGGGGGGGGGGGGGGGGGGGGGGGGGGGGGGGGGGGGGGGGGGGGGGGGGGGGGGGGGGGGGGGGGGGGGGGGGGGGGGGGGGGGGGGGGGGGGGGGGGGGGGGGGGGGGGGGGGGGGGGGGGGGGGGGGGGGGGGGGGGGGGGGGGGGGGGGGGGGGGGGGGGGGGGGGGGGGGGGGGGGGGGGGGGGGGGGGGGAGGAAGAGAGGAAGGGAAGAAGGGAAGAAGGGAAAAGGAGAAGAAGGGGAAGAAGAGAAAAGGAGAAGAAGGGAAGAGGAGAAGACGGGACGAAGAGAGGAAGGGAAGAGGAGAAGAAGAGGAAGAAGAGAGGAAGGGAAGGAGAGAGGAAGAGGAAGAAGAGAAGAAGGGGAAGAAGAGAAGAAGGGAAGAAGGGAAGAAGATAAGAAGATCAGAAAAGAGCTAAAGCTTGAATTCCAAATGCAATTCTAGATATCTGGTATGATTTGATCGTTCCAACAATGGGCGTCTCTTTGGGTGTCCAATCGTGGCTGAATGGACAAGCAACGGACCTAAAATCCGAGTGTGGATCGCACGGAAATGTAAGTCATCTAACTACAGTACCAGGATTGTGAAACGCATTGAAAACCATCGTATTTCAATGATTTGACCCATTAGAGCAAATTTGCTATGAAATTGCCCAGAAATTGCCCAGAAATTGCCCTGAAATTGCCCTGAAATAGCTTCAAAACTCTCCCAAAACCATTCGAAGATAAGTAAAAGATTTTGCAAAAGATTTCACTAAAAATACAAAAATTTTGCTGCGAGTGGGGTTCGAACCCACGCGGACTTGCGTCCATTGGAACTTAAACCCAACGCCTTAGACCACTCGGCCATCACAGCTGTTGGCGGGGGGCGAAAAAAGGAGAGAAAAGGGGATGGGGAAAGGGGAAATGGGAAGGAGAGGGGAATAAAAATCACCCAAAAACAACAAATTCTAAACGTAATTTTGAGAAAATAGGAAAGGGATTTGAATAATATTTTTAAATTATATGAAAATTAGAGATTAGTACTGTAAGTGAATAGGGAAATGGCTTCAAAACTCGAAGTTTTTTCGAGTTTTCCCTCAAAAGACTTTAGCTTCGATTTTTGAGGTAGAAAAAGTAGAAATTGATGTTTTGAAGATAGGAAATGGAGATTTTTGTGAAGATTTTCAACTCTAACCCTTGGCTTTGTGTAGTTTATTTAGTTTTAGCCTTTTTCTTATTGTTTTAGCTAAACCTGACCACAAATCAGACTGCTGATCTCTGAGCTCTGAGAAATTTTGAAAAAACTACTATTTTCTAAAAGAAGATAGCCAAACACTAGCATGACATCCATATTTATGAAAAAACAGCACGAAATTGAAACCTGAGCGAAGGGAGGGACTAATTTGTTCCAGTCCTAAAACGGGTTTAGTGAACTTTAACATAGGCTAGCTCTCGTTGAAGATATGATTATTCTGAAAGTCAAAAGCTTCATCCTGGAGTGCAGTATTGAAAAGGAAAAGGTCAGGGTGGCGAAAATGATATTCTGGACTGTGAGGTACTGGGGTGGTTGAGGGCTGGTTCATTTGTAGGGTCAATAGACATTTGAGGGGTTTAGAAATTGTGTGGAAGGGTCTTCTGGAGGTCATTTAAACCGAAGACGCTCAGAAAACGGTAGAATATCGCATTTATACTGTAGCCTAATTTTCAAATGCGATCTATCAGACTTTGGTATGCAAATACCTGAGAAACCGATAGCCCTCCGACAACCGATAGTCTTACTGTAATTCTAAAGATCTAAAGGTATTTAGGTGAATGATATTGATGAGATTACTGTATTGGGAGCACGTTTTCCGTCATCAAAAGATCACTCGAAATGGGGTGTGAGTGATGATGCGCGGAGACCAATTGTCTGCATTGGGGATTTAAATCGACAGGTACAGTACCCCTATTTATAACAATTTGCAAAGCTACAGTAGTCTGTAAAGCACTAGAGACAGTCCAGCTACAGTAAGCTACAATAAGCTACAGTAAGCTACAGCAAGCCATAGTAAGCTACAGTGAGCTACAGTAAGCTACAGTAAGCCACAGCAAGCTACAGCAAGCTACAGTACAGTTTTTGAACGATATTATACCAGACAAAATTTTTAAACTACTGCCTAGCACTCGTTTTTTAGATTTCCCTGCTATTAGATATGCAAATTTTCTCAAAGCTTTGATACAGTACACTTTTGACTTGAAAATTTTAAAATTTACATATCTCAGATGTGCTACCGTACTGTAAAGATGACTACTTTGAGATCAAGCTAATTTCAGCCATCTAAAGCCATCCATCATACTTTTAACTGAATATCTTTACATTATGGAAGGCACTAGGACTACTATAGCAATCAGATTGCTGAAAAATCGAGTTTGAGACTTTGCGACTGTTCAACTCTGAGTTCACTCAAGTTTCAGCCATCTAAAGCCATCCATCATACTTTTAACTGAATATCTTTACATTATGGAAGGCACTAGGACTACTGTAACGTTTAGATTACTGAAATATCAACTTTGAGACCTTGGCACTGTTCAACTCTGAGATCCCTCAAATTTCAGCCATCTAAAGTCATCCATCATACTTTTAACTGAATATCTTTACATTATGGAAGGCACTAGGACTATTGTAGCAATTAGCTTTCACTGTAAAGACTATAAAGCTTTCAGACGTCTCAACTCAAGCGTGGTGGCGGCGCATTGTGCATCGAGAACTCAAAGCTCTGGGAAACGTATCGAAGCTCAGCCTCTCATGTCTCCGCATGTCGATCAAACGGGGTGCGAAAAGATTTAGGGAATTGCATCACTCTATTTATTTATTTCTTTGTCTTAATTTTGCCTAGGGTTTGGTTACGGTAGCACATTTGTTTTAGATCGTCGGCGGGTTACGGTAGCAGCTTATAGCAGATCTTTAGATCTATTATCTGCTTAGATATCTATTATCTATTATCTGCTTACTGGCCTTGGTTATTTCAGTAAAATTCATCGAAATCTTTCACTTTCCCCCCATGAACTCAGATTTTAATCGATCGATCATTTAAATCGATTATTCAAGCAAGCTTTTCATTTCCAGATCTCCCGTGCGTTCCAGCTTTTACTTTCAAAATCGAACCGATACCAATTAGCTGAATATTTAAACTTTTCACCTAAACTACTACTGTAGCCTATTGTGAAAATGAAAATGCGAAAAGGGTAATGTTTTTTGATGTTTAGATTATTGTGTGACCTCCATAGTTACTAAATAAATCTTTTTTGATGTAATTAGCACCGTCTAGAACCACCTTTTCCCCCCAAACTCCAATCAACAAAACCAATTTTGAGCCTTTTCATTATTTTGACATTTTTCTTTCACTAACTGCCTTTGTGCGCTCCATATTTGCAAACCCGATCACCGTTCTTTCGAAAATTTCGTAAGGTTTTCGAAAAATCGCCGCCATCTCTTTCACTCACAAAACATTGTGCAACCAATTTCGAAACTAGCTTTGTTTTGTTGATTTTTGGTTAAGCTGGATGTCATGTTACTTAGTTTTTTGGTTTCCGGGTGCTTTTTGTTGTGGTTTTACTTTTCACTTACCTCACCGATCTCTGTATATTTTCTGTAAATTTTATTTTCACTTTTCATTTCCGATTTCTTAATTTTCAGAAACGCTGACTTCCAGGATGAAACGAGTTATTCGAGAATAAATAAAATTTTCACGTTTTTAACAAGATATAGCCTTGATAAGCGATCGTATCAATTACGGTGTCTTTTCATAAAAGAACTTCAGAATTTTTTGGAGCCAAAGCCTATTCTGGATGTCATTCGAGAGTTTAGGTCGATTTTTAGAAGAGTTCAGGCATTCTGAATTAGTTACAGTACCTTTTGGTATACTGTAATTGGTGTCTGAAGTTTCGACTTTCTTTCGACTTTCGCAAGGTCCGAAAAGCAAAATTTGGCATACGGTTGGTGTTTTCATTGCTCGCATTGTCATCCATCCAACAGCTAAAGCGTGGGCGTCATGGAATGCCGATCTGACTCATCCCATTCTCCCATCGACTCCCTCAACCTTTTCATCCTCTTCCCCTTCCTCTTCCTCTTCCCTCCATTTCCAATCATTCTCATCGCCTCAACTGCATTCCAGAAAGTGCATTTTTGCAAACAAGAACCACAAATCTTTTCGAAAAAAGTTTTTTCTTGATCCGATATCGAGTTTGAGTGAATTTCTTGGATTGTTTCTGTATTTTCGAATTATTTTTGCAAAATTTCCCTAATCTGGAGCGCATGTAAGCTGTTGGAAATAAAGATTTCCGTTAAACAACCATTTTTCTCCAGTTCATGCAGCTGATTCAAGAATGGCTGAATTTCTGGTTCAATTGTACATCAACAACAAAATTTTATAATATTAATAGCCATTCTGGAACGCACAGTTCCCATTTTTGGTGCTAGAAGTTAAAAGATGGGTGGCCACACGGTGGCTCGTCGCTTTCTAAGATTAACAGCTATTCTGGAGCGCACAGTTCCCATTTTCGGTGCTAGAAAGTTTAAAGACCGTTTGTGTTGTCTACAGCTGATCAAGATGGCTGTTTCTGGTTTGTTTCTGTTTTTCGAATTATTTTTCAACCCTATCTGGGCGATAGCTGTTGGAAAGAAAATTTCCATTAAACGACCATTTTTCTCCCGGTTCATTTACCCAGCTCCAACTTTTTTTTGAGCTTTCCCATAACTTTTTTCAAATTCGCCAATTCAATGGAAATAGGGATAGGGAAACGGTCAAAAGTTTAAACATTGGAAAAAACGATTGACCAGGGGAGAAGGTGGCAAAAAAGAGCCAAAAAGAGAGCCAAAAGGACGACATCGATGACGCAAATCATTTGGCAGAGCAGCCCGGTGATCAACATCATTTCCGGGAATCCCTTTCCACAAAAAGTTTTATACTGACATCCAGGATTGCCAAATATTTCTTTACTTTATTTCTAGTTTGCCTGTGGCAAAAGGAAATGGCTTGTACTCGTTATCGCTGAATTTCTTTGGGTTTTACTAGATTTTTGACTCTTTTTGAGCACAAGGTTTTACAAACTGGAACACACAACAGCTATTTCTAGTTTTATTTAGCGAAATTGATGAATTTAAGTTTTGAGACTACGTGACAATACCTTTACGTTCTATTTTGGTTGTATTCGAGAAATTATTGCTTAGACTTGTAATCTGGAGCACACCGGACTATATCCAGCGTTTTGTTTTGCAATTTTATTGTGTTAAACTTTTTTTGTCTTATACCCCATCCTCAGTACCTCAGACCTTGACCATCCATCCATCCATCCATAAAGTCTTGATTTGAAACGATAAAACCCTGGCAAATGTTGATGTGCCTTCCAGGATTTGCAAATAAATTCGTGGTTTGGCCCTGACCGCATTTTATTCCTATTTTTTCCTTCTAAACCTGGTTGAAACTGGTTGGGGTAAAATTTTCCCTCTTTTTCCGGGAATCCCTTTGCACAAAAAGTTTTATACTGACATCCAGGATTGCCAAATATTTCTTTACTTTATTGCTAGTTTGCCTGTGGCAAAAGGAAATGGCTTGTACTCGTTATCGCTGAATTTCTTTGGGTTTTACTTGATTGTCGGCTCTTTTTGAGAACAAGGTTTGTCAAACTGGAACACACAACAGCTATTTTTTAGTTTTATTTAGCGAAATTGGTGAATTTAAGTTTTGAGACTACGCGACAATACCCTTACGTAAAAACGGTTAAAATTTGAAACGATAAAACTCTGGCAAATGTTGATGTGCCTTCCAGGATTTGCAAATAAATTTGTGGCTTGGCCCCTGACCGCATTTTATTCCTATTTTTCTCTTCTAAACTTGAAACTGGTTGGGAAAAAAATTTTAAACATTTAAAAATAACCTTTCTTCATTACAAAATTACGAGCTGTATTCCAGAAATGGCAAAAATTTTTGTAAAAATATTCTTTCATGAAAATCTCGCCTCAAAAAGCACCAAACTCCGAATTTTCAAAAACTCAAAATTTTTCGCGCATCAAACCTCAAAAATGAATGTTTTATTTTATTCTGTGCGCTCCAGGATTTACAAAAATCTTTTTCTCAAGCCTTCTTCTCATTTTTGTCGGGTGCATTTTGTATCAGCTCCCCGATTTTCTCTCGACTCTCTATTTCGGCCCCTTTGGCTGGCATCCAACAAATTCGGGGGCCTTTTTTATCTTTGCTGGATGTCACTGGACTCTCTCCACTTTCTCCAAACCCTGCTCTGTCCTTTTCATCAACCGCATTCCTCTTGTCATCAAAATCTCCGCTATCAGCTGAGAGTTTCTCAAAATTTCTCTTTCTTTCGCCTATCCTGGCAAGCACAAAGTCTAAATCTATTACTATCTAAGTCTCAAATCATTTTTATCTCTCTCATCCACCCAACGACTCTCTCCTCCACAATTTCTCAGTTCTTTTAACCCTCTTCTCTCCGTCTCTTCACTTTTCAGCGATCCTGGCAAGCACACTAGCTAGCTCTGGGGTTTCCAATTCAATTCAATGCCTTTCAGATTTTTCTTTCTTTTCCCCCTCCACACCACCCCAGCTCTAGGGTTTTCTCGTGACGGCCACGCGAAAGAAGAGGGTCACGTGTGGAAAGCACGCGCCTCTCTCCCTTCCTCTCTCCCTTCCTCTCTCCCTTCCTTTCTTCCTTTCTTTCTTTGAACGACTTTGGGGTAGTCCCCGCAGGGTTGGTCTCGTAACGAGATTCCTTTATCCATCCAATCCGCTACGATCTTTTCTCAGAGTTGAGAGTCCATTTCCATGAAGTCATGCGATTCATTTCGGTCTCTTTCCCTCTTTTTCACCATTTACGGTATGAGAACCCGTGTGAGCCTGGTCATGCGGACCTTGTTTTGAGAATGAGGCGAATTTGGGTTTCATTTTTGATCAATGAAAAATTTTGCCTTACTACTCGTCGTTCTGGAGCGCACAGTCCTTGTTAGACTTTTTAAAAGTCTGCCTTGACCTTTTTTCCGTGTTGTCCTACAGCTGATTCGAGAATGGCTGAATTTCTTGTTCCATTGTACATCAACAACAAAATTTTATAAGATTAACAGCTATTCTGGAACGCACAGTTCACATTTTGGGTGCTAGAAAGTTTAAAAGATACGTTTTGGGTGTTGTCCTGTAGTTGATTCAAGACTGGTCAAATTTCTTGTTCAATTGTACATCAACAACAAAATTTTCTAAGATTAACAGCTCTTCTGGAACCCACAGTTCCCATTTTTCGTGCTAGAAAGTTTAAAAGATACGTTTTTGGTGTTGTGCTACAGCTGATTCGAGATTGGCTGAATTTCTTGTTCCATTGTGCATCAACAACAAAATTTTATAATATAGATAGCCATTCTGGAACGCACAGTTCCCATTTTTGGTGCTAGAAAGTTTAAAAGATACGTTTTTGGCGTTGTGCTGCAGCTGATTCGAGAATGGCTGAATTTCTTGTTCCATTGTACATCAACAATAAAATTTTATAAGATTAATAGCCATTCTGGAATGCACAGTTCCCATTTTTGGTGCTAGAAAGTTTAAAAAAGCAATCAAAAAATCTCCATCTTCGAGACTTCGAGATTGGCCGTTTTTCTCGCCCAATTTCCCTCTTTTCACCATTTTCTCATAACTTGTGCTCATTCTGGAACGCACTGCACCAATTTTTGATAAGACTTTGAAGAATTCTTGATTTTCCAGGACTGTACTTTGTCCACCGCTCCTCCTTCTCTCTTTTTTCATCCTTTTCTCATAAAATGCCTTCGATATTGCTTATAATTTTCTCCTCGCAAAAAATTTTGCCCAATTTTGCCCAATTTTCACCAAAAATCTTCCATAATGACCAATAAATGTCATTCTTAAAGTCGAGAGAGTCGCAGAAATGACTTCGACTTCAGTTTAGACATTTGCATTTAAGATTTTACATTTTAAAACTTAAAAATGATTATCCTGGAACGCACACAAGGAAATTAGCATTTAATATATGTATAAATTTAAATATATGCAAATTTCATGTTCTGATCCAACACCAAGGCAAAAGCTCACTTTCGAATTTTTTTTGAATCGCTTTTTTTCACCTTTTTTTTCTTTCTTTCTCTTCCCTGCCATCCAGAAAAGAGCTATTCACTAAAAGTTTGTCGAAAAGCTCATTTTTTACCTTGAAATTTCGTTAGATCTCTGAAATCTCTCTTTTCTTTCAGTTTTCAGCCAAAAATTTGCTTTTTTAGTTCATCAGATGAGTCAAACATTTCCATTTCTCGAGAAAATTCAAGATCGTTTGGGATACATTGTCATTGATGAGACTGGAGCGATCATAAAGGTAAATGGATAATGGATAATCATTTTTCTGTTTATTTTCCTTTCATTTACTCAATCTAAATAAATTGAATAGCTGAATAGAGTCTGTTCTCATTGCATAGCTTGATAGAGTTGAATAACTTGATAGCGTCAGTTCTCATTGCTCAGTGCTTCTTAAGCGTTTTGCTTAAATAAGCAAAAAGGAAAAGATTTACCTGGAAAAGGGATTATCAAGCTTCAAGCAAGAAAGCAAAAGCTTTCTCTAGCAAAGCAAAGCAAAGCAAGGCTTCAAGCATAGCAAAGTAAAGCAAAGTAAAGCAAAGCAAAGCAAAGCAAAGCAAAGGAAAGCAAAGGAAAGGAAAAGAAAGCAAAGCAAAGCTCCAAGCAAAACAAAGCAAAGCTTCAAACAAAGCAAAGCAAAGCAAATCAAAGCTTCAAGCAAAGAAAAGCAAAGCAAAGCAAGCAAAGCTTCAAGGCAAAGCAAAGCAAAGCTCCAAGCAAAGCAAAGCAAAGCTTAATTTGAGTCCCTTCATCACTTTCTTATCCTGGTAAATGATCTAAAAAAAGCGAAGAATCAAAAATTTTTTTAGTAATTTTTGAGATTTGATTTAATTATTAGGTAAATGAATAAGAAATTCGGATTTCAACATTTCCATAAATTTCCAACGATAGAAACCTGTTGTTATAAACTAGAATCGTTATAAATGTTATAAACTATTTAAAAGCTGTAAATCTCCTCTACAAAATAGGCTAAAACGTGTTTCAATCGATCGAAGCATTGAAGAAATTTCGATGGTGAAATGCGAGTGACCAAAAAAAGGAATCGAGTCACTTTAGGGACAAGTTTAGTGCGGTCAAAATAGAGTTAGCTTTCCAAAATTGAAGATTTAAAAAAAAAAGGATAACTATATATAAGATTTAAAGGATTCTCGGATATTTGATACATGCTCCGCCGCTTTGTGATTGGTAATTGAACTTTGAGCTCAAATATCTTGGTGTTGGGCAGTTCAATTTAAATGTTCTTGGTATCATTGAATTCGCCAAGTCTTCCTCTATTGATTGGTACAAAAACTATTTCAATTGAACAATCCAGCACCAAGAAATTCGAGCTTAAAGTTGCATTGCCAATGGACAAGTTTAATGTGGTCAAAATAGAGTTAGCTTCTGAAAATTGAACGTTTAAAAAAAGGATAACTATAGATGAGTTGATTAAGAAAGTCCAATGGAAATGCATTTACAGAAATTTAGATAAAGCGCAAGTTCAAAATCCTCAAAATTCTCAAAAAATTGACTTTTTCACAAAAATTTTGTAAAAACAAAGTTTTTCAATGAAATGATCCCAACTCTTAAGTATTTTAATGATATTTTAAAGCGTTTTTATTGATATTTTAGAACATTTTCCACTATTTAGTCAAAAGGGAACTCTTGTGAAAGTGGGGAGGCTGGGGAGTGAAAAATTCCCCTTTTTTGGTCACTCGCATTTCACCATCCAAATCTCTTCAATGCTTCGATCAATTGAAACACATTTTAGCCTATTTTGTAGAGGAGATTTACAGCTTTTGAATAGTTTATAACAGTTATAACAATTTACAACATCGATCTCTGTTTTCTATCGTTTGAAATTGATGAAAATGTTGAAATCCGAATTTCCTATGCACCTAGTCAAGCTCAAATATCTTGGTGCTGGATTGTCCAATTGAAATAGTTTTTATACCAATCGATAGAGAAAGACTTGGCGCATTCAATGATATAAAGAACATTTAAATTGGATAACCCAATGCCAAGAAATTTAAGCTCAAAGTTCGATTACTAAGTCAAGCTTTTCGTTTCCTTTTTTTTCGGATGATATACCCAAAATTTCATAATCCTTTTTAGTCTGATGGTGAATTGTCGAATTCTGAGCACACAGCAAGAGTCGTCAAAGAGTTACTGTACCTCGAGAGGCCAAAATCCGCCATTAAACCCAAGCACAAAATGGTCGAAATGACGGTGAGTGGAAAAGTGTTTCCATAATTTGTGCTTGACTTTGTAAACGCACCCTTTCTGGGGCACTGAGTTCTTTGTTTTTTTGAGCTGAAAGCTAAACGTTTTCTGCAAGAAAATCAAGAATTCAGTGCACTAGAAAGAGAACGTTTACCAATTTCAGCACCAATCTAGTACAGTATACTCGAAAATTTGCATACAAAAGCCTATTTTTTGAACTTTTGCCTAAAATTTGCCTACAAAATGCCTTTTGACTAATTTTTGAAGCCAGTTTTATTTCTGGCTAGTTTTGGAAACATTTTTGAACATTTCTTTTTATTAGACCCAATTTTTACCTCGAATTTTGACCTGTCTTGTCCTTGTGCGTACCTTTCATGTGCTTTGTAAGAAAAAACAGCATCTGGCACACGGCCTTTCCCCATAGGGAGACAGGGACATAATCTTTCGGTTTAATTACCCAAGTTTGGAGTATTGCTCACGAGAGCCTGTAAAAGTGTCAAAAAGTCAAAAGAGAGACCCTTTATCGCCGGAGTCCTTGCTGTGCGTACCTTTCATGTGCTTTCTAAGAAAAAACGTCATCTGGCATACGGTCCTTCCACATAGCGAGACAGACCCCTTCTTTTCCGGTTTAATTACCCAAGTTTGGATTATTGTTGACGTTGCTTATTGTTCACCAGACCCTGTAAAAGTATAGAAAAAGGAGGCGTCTCCGGAAACTGAATGCAAGAAGATCTCAGTGTTGAATCGTTGAATTTGCAGACGAATGAAACTGTTGAAATGAGATCCCAGATTACAGAATGAGATTCTGAAAGACGGTTGAAATAGAAAAAGAAGAATTCCTTTTGGGTAAAGACTGTAGCCAAAGAAGAACACTGTGCGTACCTTTCATGTGCTTTGTAAGAAAAAACAGCATCTGGCACACGGCCTTTCCAGATAGGACAAGAGAGACCGGGTTTCCCGGTTTAATTACCCAAGTTTGAAGTTTGTCTTGATCATGAGCTGGGGATGTGCTTTGAGTGTGCTAAATGTGCTGGGAATGTGCTAAACCGTCTCCCTCTCCGTCCTATGGCCCATCTCTGCAAAGGGGATGCAAAAAAGATGCCAGAGATGTTTTCCTGACCATTTTATTGAAAGCACGTCTCTCCTAGACCGGAAACACTTCATTAAATGTCAATATTTACTTTTAAACAATAATTTTATGACTCAAACAAACATTTCAAAATCTTGACGTCATTTTCATTCATTTCTTGTCTTTGAAACGCCCAAATCTCGATTTCCAAATTTAGTAGAGAAAAGGATTTCGAAATAGCTCTCTTTTTTTGATGGAAACGTCATCCTGGAACGCAGTCTAGCTATTGCGAGGTTTAGATTGTGGAAAAATTGATTTCTCAAAAATTTTTAGGGAGCGTTATGAGAATGAGCATTTCTACAAAATTCTAATTGTAATTTTTCAGATTTAGTTGAAGATTTGTAAATGCTGGATGTCATGCTAGATAATAAAATCGGATTTAGTTGGGATATTGTAGGGAAAAAAAATCGGGACATCCAGGCCTTGATTTTTGGGCTTTTTTTAGGTAATTTAAAGATGGCGAAATAGTAAGTAGATCTTGGGTTACTGTAGAGTGGTTACTGTATAGCTGGGTTACTGTATAGCTGGGGTACTGTAGAGCTGGGTTACTGTATAGCTGGGGTACTGTATAGCTGGGTTACTGTATGGCTGGGTTACTGTATAGCTAGGTTACTGTATAGCTGGGTTACTGTATAGCTGGGGTACTGTATAGCTGGGGTACTGTATAGTGCTGGGGTTACTGTATAGTGCTGGGTTACTGTATAGTGCTGGGATTACTGTAGATACCCTGGATCCATTTTTACCATCATATTTACTTTAAAAATCACTCTCAAGCGCTTATCTACCGTATTTTCTTTTTCTCATTTCCCGCATTTCACTCCAGAGTGATGTTTGTGTCCGCTCCTGATTAGGGGCAAGTTTGGAGCCAGAAATGACGAAGAGAGAAGCAAGGCGCCAGTCTTAGCCTCCTCGCCCAGCCCAATCTCATCAGTGATAAGCTTTTCTCAATGAAATACACACTGAATAGCCTCTGTGATGTCCATAGTTGTCCCCCAAAGTGACCCTTTCCCCATAAATATCACTATTTACGAGCGGTGGCTGGGGAAATGACTTTGCCGAGATTTAAGGGCTACGGCTGGGGTTCTAGAAGCTACAAATTGGGGAATAGCGTTTCTGGAATGCACGGAGGATCTTGGACGATACAGAAATAGGGTTCGACATTTTTTTGAAAGTACAGTATACTGAGTACGGTACAGTACGTTGAGACAATATCTAAAAAGCTATGTACTTTCATTTTTCATCTAAAAACTTTCAGATAGACTACTCGACGCATTTCTATACGATTGTCCGCAGCGGGAAGTACGCCTTTTGCGTGAAGCGAAAGAGGAATCGAGCGATTGTGAGAATCTTTGGAAATACGAAGATAAAGATTAAATTTGTTGGGATTTTTGAGCGATCTGGATGTCAGTAGAGTTATTGATGAGCATATTTAGCCACCCGATCCACATCCACCATCCATGTCTACAGTATCACCTCCAGCATTGATCACCCCCAGCAATGATCGCCAAATATCCCCTACAGAGCCTCAAAAGACCACAGGAATGGTGGCAGACGTTTCATTGGTGAGATAGCTTTATCGTACTGTAATTGGATACGGTATTCCGTCAGAATACGGTAGAAATAGCAACTCTGCATAACTGAATATCTCTAATAGCTAAATTTCTAATATTTTTCTTCATTTTCTTGTTAGCTGACTTCCAGATTAGAGCTTTTTGACATTAGATTCAATTCTAGACACCCCAAACCACCGTGAATCCGTTGCAACTCACATCCGACATCCAAGAAACAAAACCACCCAGTCGATCACCGTCCAAATCGCCGAATTGATCGTCCTGGAACGCACGACGATTGGTCTGCTATTCAGATCATTGAAATATTTCATTTAAAATTTCTAACTCTACCGTATCCAATACAGTAATCTAAAATATCTCTAATAGCTAAATTTCTAATATTTTCCTTCATTTTCTTGTTAGCTGACTTCCAGATTAGAGCTTTTTGACATTAGATTCAATTCTAGACACCCCAAACTGCCGTGAATCCGTTGCAACTCACATCCGACATCCAAGAAACGAAACCACCCAGTCGATCGCCGTCCAAATAGCCAAATTGATCGTCCTGGAACGCACGACGATTGGTCTACCATTCAGATCATTGAAATATTTGATTTAAAATTTCTAACTCTACCGTATCCAATACATTAGTCTAAAATTTGCATCTAAATCCCGAATTTGCATCTAAATCTCTTTTCAACGATAGTCATTGTCTGATTTCTTTTTTTTCTTGCTCATTTCCATTTCAGAAAACAAGAAAACGGTTCTCATCCACTCGATTCGGCTTAGCTCGATTTTTCTCCTTTTTCTTCCATATTTCCTTCAAAATTGAAGTCTTTCGCATTCAAAGCAAGTCCATGCAAGTGTTTTCTCTTCCCACTCTTTCTTATCCTTCTTCCTCTCCCCATTCTTCCCTTCTTCCTCCCCAATCTTCCCCCCATTGATGATCTCATCTCAAATCACATGAATCCGAGGAAATTCTTTTTTCAAAAGTCGATGTGACATCCATAGTTGATATTCATAGCGGTGAAAACTCGATTGCACAGACTGAGGCCGAGATTTTCGCTTGAACTCGATCGCGTTGAGCAAAGGAAATTCTGTCGATCCCTCCCCTCTCCAAATCGCCCTTGTGCCCTCCTGTGCATTCCAGTTTCGCCGAAAACCCTCGAAACTTTTCCGCAAAGCTCACACTTTCCTCATGAAAATCTCGTCAAACTCATTTCCCCCCATATTCTAGTGCCTTTTCGATAAACGGTTTCCGCAAATTCGCAAATCCGCAAATCCCTTTATTGCTCTCCAAATTTTTCCGCGATTCGGTGCAATTTTTCGCAATTTCTTGCTTATTTTCTTTTTAATTGAAAGTTTTTTTTCCAAAAATTTGCTCAAATTTTGTTTTTTTTTGTGAAAAAATGTTTTGTTCTCTAAAAATATTTTTTTTTAAATTTCTATCTCTTTTCTCTAATAGTAGTGCATCTAGGGAGTCGAGTTAATGTCTAGATAATGCCTAGTTAATGCTTACCGTAAATACTGTAATTGGACCCCACCCCCCTCGTACAGTCGTGTAGTCGCAAAAGTTTTTTAGTATTTCATTGTTTTTCAAAGCACCCGTACTTTCAAAAAATGCGTCTTTGGTATCAAAAAATAGCTGAAATTCAGGGCTATTTTTTGATACCAAAACGAACATTGTAGCATAAACCAGTGTCGAGAAAAACGCGTTTTTTCGGGATTGTTGCGTAGTCTAACTTTAAACATCCCGTTCTCCGCGCTGCTTTACGCTACGATGCGCGCTTAGGTATCAAAAAATAGCCCTGGATCTCAGCTATTTTTTGATACCAAAACGAGCATCGTAGCATAAACCAGTGTCGAGAAAAACTCGTTGAAAGCTAGACTACGAAACACTCCGCACCTTTTTTCACTTTTTTCAAAGCACCCGTACTTTCAAAAAATGCGTCTTTGGTATCAAAAAATAGCCCTGAATCTCAGCTATTTTTTGATACCTAAACGAGCATTGTAGCAGAAACAGGTGGCAAGAAAGATATGTTTAAAGTTAGACTACGCGACCGACCATCATTTTAGGGGGGCGCTACTATTACATAGCGTTGCGTAGTCTAGCTTTGAACGAGTTTTTCTCGACACTGGTTTAAGCTACAATGCTCGTTTTGGTATCAAAAAATAGCTGAGATTCAGGGCTATTTTTTGATACCGAGGCACACATCGTAGCATAAACCAGTGTCGAGAAAAGCTCGTTCAAAACTAGACTACACAACACTCCGCAACGTCATTATCGGGGTGGGGTACTATTACAGTATTTACGGGAGTTAATGTCTAGATAATGTCTAGATAATGTCTAGCTTACGACTTCCAAGTCTTGCACAGAAGCTCAACACTCTAATCCCCCACTAGATCTCATCAGCTACATTTTTACCCCATATCAATAGGTTCTGATAAGTGGTTCTCAAGATTTTGAGGAATTTAGGCACTCTGGGTGAATTGGTATTAGAGAATACGGTATTTACTATGAATGTATTGGCTTCTTATTCAAACCGGACATTCGGGAGTAACCGGATATTCGGGGGAAGCCATGGATATACCTATAATAGTAGTGCACCCCAGGGAGTCGAGTTACCGTATTTACTCTATTAGTGGGGTCCTCTCTAATAGTGGGGTCGTCTGGAGGGGGGTTGAAAAAATAGTGGGGTCCTCTCTAATATTGGTAACGAAAGTGATACATCAATTGTTGATCTCTTGGATTAGTTCTTTTACTGTTTGTTAATGTTTTGTTACGGTTAAAGCTAAATAAAATATGAAGCCAAACTTGTTTTGTCAAGAATTTCGGAGAAAAATTGATATCTTTTCAATTTAAAACTTTGGTTTTATGTTCTTTTAAATTTCTCTAATAGCGGGGTCCTCTCTAATAGTGGGGTCGTCTGGAAGGGGATTGAAAAAATAGTGGGGGACCCCACTAATAGAGTAAATACGGTAATGTCTAGTTAATGCCTAGATAATGTCTAGTTAATGTCTAGCTTACGGTTTCCAAGCTTTCCCAGAAGCTCAACCCTCTAATCCCCCACTAGATCTCATCAGCTACATTTTCCGACCCAATATCAATAGGTTCTGCTAAGCGGTTCTGATAAGCGGTGAGATTTCAAGGAATTCAGGGACTCAGGGAGCACTACTATTAGAGAAAACTATTCCTACAATCCCGCTATTCCTACAATTCCTCTATTCCCACAATCCCGCTATTCCCACAAAATTTTCTATATCCCTAACAAAAAAAAAAAAGAACGATAAAAATCAGGTAAAATTTGTTGAAAATGTAAATATTTTATTGTAGATTACGATAAACGTGTACAGCTTTTTTTTCCGGTAGGCAAACGGCGAATAAAACTTTATCGAAACTTTTATGGAGACTTTTATGGAGACTTTTTTTTTTGATTTTCAAATAAATGCACATTCTGGAATGCACAGAGATCGAGAAAGTAAAAATTCGAAAAAAATTGAACATTTAAAAATTTCACAAGAAACAGTACTGTACTTTTCTTTTTCCAAAAGAGTACAGTACTTTTCCGTACTTTTCTGTACTGTACTTTTCTGGAAACTGTACTTTTCTGGTACTGTACTGTATCTTGAAAGAAAAGTACAGTACTTTTCCGTACTTTTCTGTACTGTACTTTTCTTTCAAGATATTTGCCGAGTAGTCTACTCAAAATACAATAAGGAAATAAGAATTTTCAATGAAATAGTGGAAAGCTAGAGTATTCTTTTGAAAGAATCCGGTTAGAGTAGAGCTTTTTGTTCAGCTACTTTTAGGGTAGTGCACTGAAAAGCTTTCGGCACTAGAATGAGGTATTAAAATGGAAATTTCACAAATATTTTCTTATTTTTCATTATCCTGGAACGCATGTAAGGGAAATTTTACGAAAAAATGAAAAAAAAAATCAGTTTTTGGGTTGTCCAGTTAAGACCGGGTAAAGAGTATCATCGCGTACATCGCGTACTCTCAGCACTCGGACGCGTACTCGCAGCACTCGCACGCGTACTCGCAGCACTCGCACGCGTACTCGCAGCACTCGCACGCGTACTCGCAGCACTCGGACGCGTACTCTCAGCACTCGCACGCGTACTCGCACGCGTACTCGCAGCACTCGGATTTGAGATTTTGGAGATTTCAAATTTAATAACTACCGTGTATCTCTTCGAATAGAAGACCGGGTAAAGAGTATCATCGCGTACATCGCGTACTCGCAGCACTCGCACGCGTGCTCGCAGCACTCGCACGCATACTCTCAGCACTCGCACGCGTAGCAGCCCTTTCTAAAATTTCTTTTCTGCATAAAAGCTTTCAATGAAGTGCTATAGAGCTGGAAAATGACTCAAAAATACCAAAAAAAACAGATTTTTCAGCCATTTTTCACCTCTATAGCACTTGATTGAAAGCTTTTATGCAGAAAAGAAATTTTAAAAAGGGCTGCTACACAGGAGTACGCGATGTACGCGATGTACGCGATGTACGCGATGATACTCTTTACCCGGTCTTCTATTCGAAGAAATATCTTTTTCTTGATTTCTTGATAATCTTTCCGAATCAAGGTAAATTTACAAAATAGTAAAAAAAAACGAATGTCATAACTGGGACAACCAAATACCTTTCGAGTAGTGCACTGAAAAGCTTTGGGCACTAGAATAGTGGAAAGCTAGAGTATTCTTTTGAAAGAATCCGGTTAGAGTAGAGCTTTTTGTTCAGCTACTTTTAGGGTAGTGCACTGAAAAGCTTTCGGCACTAGAATCAGGTATTAAAATGGAAATTTCACAAATATTTTCTTATTTTTCATTATCCTGGAACGCATGTAAGGGAAATTTTATAAAAAAAATTTAAAAAAAATAATTTTAAAAACTTTTCTCAAATTTAAGGAAAAATTGGCGGTTTTCAAGGAAATAACTGAATAAATTGGAAGGATTTAAATGGAGATTCGTCTGCAAATCATTCCTCCTTCTTCTCATCAACATTTTTGACAATTCGGGCGGTGACAGTGGTGCGGTTAGGGTTCTGAAAGTTCGCATTTATGAATTTTGATTCCTGTCAAAGCTTGGAGTTCGGAAAGCTGTTTTTTTAAGCTGAACACACCCTTTCTAGTGCACTGAATTCCCTCAAAGTGCACTGAGTTCAAAGAAACGATACACTTTTGAGTGTTCAGTGCGTTAGGAAGAGTGGGTTTTCAAGTTTTAAGCAAAAAATCCGCCAAACCTCTGCATCATTATACAATTTTTTCAGTCGAAAATACGTAGAGAAGAGAAAAGATGTGTAGAAGCCGGAGATCATGAATGGAGTGATATGATTCGCTCCATAGACATTCAACACCCAATGTCCCCATACATTCAGTCCGAAGATCACCATTTGAGTCTAAATTTGGTAAAGAGCTGGCTAAGGTAGATGTCTCTAGTCAGCAGCTTTAGGTAGCTGTCTCTAGTCGGCAGCTTTAGGTAGCTGTCTCTAGTCGGCAGCTTTAGGTAGCTGTCTCTAGTCGGCAGCTTTAGGTAGCTGTCTCTAGTCGGCAGCTTTAGGTAGCTGTCTCTAGTCGGCAGCTTTAGGTAGCTGTCTCTAGTCGGCAGCTTTAGGTAGCTGTCTCTAGTCGGCAGCTTTAGGTAGCTGTCTAAAGTAGCTGTCTCTAGCTGTCTCTAGTCAGCAACTGTCTAAGGTAGCTATCTCTAGTTAGGAGCTGTCTCTAGCTGGGAGCTGTCTCTAGTTAGGAGCTGTCTCTAGTTGGAAGCTGTCTCTAGTTGGAAGCTGTCCCCAGTCAGCAACTGTCTCTAGCCAGCAACTGTCTCTAGCCAGCAACTGTCTCTAGCCAGCAACTGTCTCTAGCCAGCAGCTATCTCTAGTCAGCAACTGTCTCTAGTCAGCAACTGTCTCTAGTCAGCAGCTGTCTAAGGTAGCTGTCTCTAGCTGTCTCTAGTCAGCAACTTTCTAAGATAGCTGTCTCTAGTCGATAACTCTAGATTCAATTTCCCAAGATCACCATTTAAGTCTAGATTCGGTAAAGATACTGTAGCTGTCTCTAGTCTCAATTTACTGTAGCTGTCTCAATTTCGATTACTGTAGAAAGAAAGACTTAAACACAGTTCACAAATTTCCCTACCACAAGTCGACTGGCTAAGTATGGGATTTGAGCCTGTGGAGAGAAGTGACGAGCATGAAGGGAAATGATTGATGAAAGGAGAGACATCACACCGAACAGACGACACCACATGATGTGATGGGAGTCGAGAGTGAATTCGGAACGGATCTAGGAGTTGGCGATCATTGACAAAGCGTTTCTGGATGAAGATTTGACAAATGTTAGGATGGTCTAGTTTTGATTTGGATTTTGGACTTGGATTTTGCTTTCAAAAGCGAGCAATGAGTAGCATGGCATCCAGAATCGACTTCTGATCGACCCAAAGGATCAACACTTCCTGACTGGACTGAAAGTTAGAACTGGACTGAAAGTTGGCCAATTTTTTGAGAGATGAGAGATGAGATGATGAGAGATGTCCAATTAGACTCATAGTCAGAGCTTCTTTTGAATCAAGTCTTGGACTTGGACTGCACTTGGACTTGGAATCATCAAACTCGACTTGGAATGATCAAAATCCACTTGGAATCATTAAACTCGACTAGGAATGATCCAAACTCGACTTGGAATGATCCAAACTCGACTTGGGATCATCAAACTCGACTTGGAAATGATCAAAATCAAGTTGGAGTGATCCAAATCGACTTGGAATGATCCAAAATCCACTAGGAATGATCCAAAATCGACTTTGAATCATCAAAATCAACTTTGAATCATCAAAATCGACTTAGAATCATCAAAATCGACTTGAAATCTTCAAAATCCACTTAGACTCATCAAAATCCCTGCCAAGATTGTTAAAAAAAGCTAAACCTATAGCCAGTTAGATCAAAAATGACTTTATCTGGCTTCTGGATAGATTAGAAGTCGATTCTGGATGTCATGCTATTCATTGCTCACTTTTGAAAGCAAAATTCAAGACAAGTCAAGCTCTATAGCTAGAGTTGGCCTGATAGAATCGATGGGACCCAGAGCTCGAATCGATGGGACCCAGACAAGGACCCAGGCTCGAATCGATGGGACCCAGACAAGGACCCAGGCTCGAATCGATGGGACCCAGACAAGGACCCAGGCTCGAATTACAGTCTTTTACAAAAGGATTCTACAGAAACTAAACTCTACTCACCACCAATTTGAGAATATGATTGGGGAAAGCGAAATGAAGCATCGCTTGCAAGAGTGACAAAGCAGCATCAGCATAAAACGAGTTCTCCGCATAGAAAGAGCCTTTTCCCTAGAAATCGTGTGTTTTTCTGATTGATTTCTGATCCATCGTTGATTCTGGATGTGATTCTATCCATTGGCCATACCTCCAACCAAAGTGTAGTCCTCTTGCACATCTCATCAACTTCATCTTTGAAAGTGCGACGGTTGAGGAAGAATTTCAACGTTTCCGTGAAAAACCAAACTCCATCAGTGAGCAGGGAACAGATAACGAACTGAATTTGAAAGTTATTTAGTAATATTAGAGTCTAGAGGCTGATTTAATAGCTGATTTAAAGGCTGATTTAATAGCTGATCTAAAGGCTTTACCCAATCCGAGATCCCGACTCCTTTATATCCTTTTTCTGAGACATGCCAAGCCACAAAGAGTTTCGTAAAGATTGACATAAAAGCGGTGATGGCACGGGCAAAGATAATGCCTGAAATTAAGCAATTATCAGCTTTATTAAGCAATTAAGAGCCATTAAAAGAGCTAAATTCGATTTATACAAATAACTGAATTTTTTCCTGCAATTAGACTTTATTTTGGGGACTTTTTACAAGAGCTACAAGATCTACAAGAGCTATAAGAGCTACAAGAGCTACAAGAGCTACAAGATCTAGAAGATCTACAAGAGCTAGAAGAGCTACAAGATCTACAAGATCTACAAGAGCTACAAGAGCTACAAGTACACCAGGCCTACTTGTGGATCTGATCTTGTGGCCTAACAAATGAATGAGGGAATACCAAAATTTTCTGTTTTTTTCTATTTAGAGCTTCATAAAAGTTCACCTTGTTCATCCCTTGCCTCGGACTTGGCGGTAGCGCGGATATAGTAAGCGATGCCAATCTGGAAAATTGTCTTCAACCTAATACATTCAAAAACAGTAATCCGAACTTTCAATACAAGAGTTAGAAGAGTTAGAAGAGCTACAAGATCTACGAGAAGCTACGAGAAGCTACAAGAGCTATAAGAGCTAGATCTACAAGATCTCAAGATCTACAAGAGCTACAAGATCTACAAGATCTACAAGAGCTACATGAGCTAGAAGAGCTACAAGAGCTACAAGAGCTAGATCTACAAGATCTACAAGATCTTTCAATACAACAATGTAAAATGACAATCCCAGTGCTCCAGAAAAACTCACATGAGCGGCGGCGATGAAATTCTGCAAGAAAATGTGCAACACATTGAAGTTTGATGTCACCTAAAAATTAGAAATCAAAATTGACCAAATTATCAATCAAAAACAAGCAGAAAACTGACCGTGACCGCCAGGAAACACCTTGGACACACTAGATAGAAAAGAGCCAGCAGGGAGTGAGCCGTTTGTTGTGAAAGTGATCGGTAGTGCGCGTTGAGGTATGGGAAGATTGAGCCTAGAAGTTAGATTTAGTTGAATTTCATCAATTTCATCGTTGTGCTAGCCAGCTTGTCGATTGCATTCAATTTCAGCTAATTCCCAGCATCTACAGCACGAGAATCTCACCAGTCCCGAAAATTTAGCAAAATTTGCAGAATTTAGAAAATTGTGCATTTTTTGGGACGAATGCGTTCCAGATTGGCCAAATATCCGAAAAATTGCGACCCACCAACGAACGCCAACGAGACAAGAGCGTGTGGAGCGAGTTGCAAGCAATTCTGGTAGTTTAGCTCCATTATCTGAAAAGTTTCAAATCAACAATTTCAATTCTGGATGTCACAGGAAATTTTGAATATAAAAATTTCAAGATTTTGCAGAAAGGGGAATTCCTCGAAAACGAGGCCAATATTTTCGGGTACTCAAGGGGGATAAGAAGGGGGAAGTGGGCAAAGAAAAGGGTAAACAAAAATATAGAACACAGCGAAGAAAGAGAATGCGAAAAAGTGATGAATTTTGAATTCTAGTGCATTGAATTCTCGATTTTCTCGAATTGAGTTGCTTTTGTTAGAAAATGGAGAATACAGTGCGACAAAAGCAGTTCTAGACTAGTTGTAAGCAGAAGTCAGGTCATGGCCTGGTCCTGGATCCCCCAGAAGTCAGATCTGGATCTGCCTGGGTCCTGAAAGCAGAAGTCAGGTCCTGGCCTGGTCCTGGCCTGGTCCTGGATCCCCCAGAAGTCAGATCTGGATCTGCCTGGGTCCTGAAAGCAGAAGTAAGGTCCTGGCCTGGTCCTGGATCCGCCAGAAGTCAGATCTGGATCTTGGGTCCTGAAAGCAGAAGTAAGGTCCTGGCCTGGTCCTGATCCCCAGATCAGATCTGGATCTGCCTGGGTCCTGAAAGCAGAAGTAGGTCCTGGCCTGGTCCTGATCCCCAGAAGTCAGATCTGGATCTCCTGGGTCCTGAAAGCAGAAGTCAGGTCCTGCCTGGTCCTGGCCTGGTCCTGTCCCCCAGAGTCAGATCTGGATCTCCTGGGTCCTGAAAGCAGAAGTCAGGTCCTGGCCTGGTCCTGGCCTGGTCCTGGATCCCCAGAAGTCAGATCTGGATCTGCCTGGGTCCTGAAAGCAGAAGTAAGGTCCTGGCCTGGTCCTGGATCCGCCAGAAGTCAGATCTGGATCTGCCTGGGTCCTGAAAGCAGAAGTAAGGTCCTGGCCTGGTCCTGGATCCGCCAGAAGTCAGATCTGGATCTGCCTGGGTCCTGAAAGCAGAAGTCAGGTCCTGGCCTGGTCCTGGCCTGGTCCTGGATCCCCAGAAGTCAGATCTGGATCTGCCTGGGTCCTGAAAGCAGAAGTCAGGTCCTGGCCTGGTCCTGGCCTGGTCCTGGATCCCCCAGAAGTCAGATCTGGATCTGCCTGGGTCCTGAAAGCAGAAGTCAGGTCCTGGCCTGGTCCTGGCCTGGTCCTGGATCCCCCAGAAGTCAGATCTGGATCTGCCTGGGTCCTGAAAGCAGAAGTAAGGTCCTGGCCTGGTCCTGGATCCGCCAGAAGTCAGATCTGAATCTACCTGGGTCCTGGATCCGCCAGAAGTCAGATCTGGAGCTGCCTGGGTCCTGAAAGCAGAAGTGAGATCCTGACCTGGTCCTGGCTTGGTCCAGACCCGGTCCTAGATCTCCAGAAGTGAGATCTGGATCTGCCTGGGTCCTGAAAGCAGAAGTGAGGTCCTGGCCTGGTCCGGACTTGGTCCTGCCCTAGTCCTGGATCCGCCAGAAGTCAGATCTGGATCTGCCTGGGTCCTGGATCCGCCAGAAGTCAGATCTGGATCTGCCTGGGTCCTGAAAGCAGAAGTGAGGTCCTGGCCTGGTCCTGGCTTGGTCCAGACCCGGTCCTGGATCCCCAGAAGTCAGATCTGGATCTGCCTGGGTCCTGAAAAGTCTAACGCTGAGATTTAAAATTCTAGAGCTGGCCTGTCTCTTGTCCTTGCCTCTTGCTTACAGGACTCTTGTAGCTTCATTGTCCTTGGCTAGAAGTTCTTTGTCTTCATTCTTGGCTAATAAAGCCGTTTCTCAACTTGAAATTTGCACAATCCTGAATCCAGAAACAGCTCTTGAAAAGAAAATAAGCTTTTGAAAAAGCAAGAAAACGATTTTTCGATTGTTATTGATTTGAAACACTGAAGAAGCTGGTGATGAAGAAGAGTTTTGAAGAAGAGAAGAGTTGGCAAAAGAAAAAGAGAATTGTGAGTGTGATGGTTCTCGAAAACAACGACAAAACAAGATGAAAGGGGGGGGGAAAGAAAAGGGAAAAATGATGAAATTGTGCACTTTAATGCATCGATGACTCCAAATGACATCGATGACATCGATGACTTTCAGAATTGATCTAGAACTGAAAAAAAACCTCATATTCTCCAAGTGTGATTTCCAGATTTTAAAGTAAACTTAAAATTTTGATTTCCACCTTAACAAAATCTCGATTTTCGTTGGTGATTTGATTTTTTAGTGAGATATTTTTTTTTTTGATGTTTAAGAGTTGTTTAAACGTTTCAAAAGGTCTAGTGCATTCCAGGATTTACAATTCTTATAAAAAATTTCCTTGTTTATTATATAAAAATCGATATCGATGTTTGAGAAGGAATAGGATAATGTGAGGACAATGGGAAGGTCAGCTGGGGGGACTTTGATGAGAAGAAATGGAGGAAAGGGCAACATTGTAAGGGAGGGGAAACTTGAGACGGTCACTGGGAGTATATTTGGTGGATATAAAAGAAAGGAAAGATGCAGAGACACAGCTGGAAGTCCGACAAAGGGAGTTGGCAAGGAAATGAGCGGCCAGGTGCATCGTTGGGTGATAAAAAGTTGTGCAAGGTGAATGCTGGAGTGCAGAAAGTTTACTGGCGGTGGGGGAGCGGTGGATGGGCTGAACTTTGGCCACAGAGAAGACTTTGACTGATTTCCAAGAATTCAAATAGTGACAATGGTCCAGGAATTCAAATAGTGACTAGGGAGAGGTTGGAGAAGGGATTGGTGAGAGGGAGGAGGCTAAGGGAGCCTAGGGGAGGCTAGTAGGTTAGCAATGGTCCAGGATACCCCAAACCCTCAGCCTCAGAAGACTTTGACTCATTTTCTGGCCTAGATTAAGTCTATAGGGTTTCATTTTTTGTAATTTCTGAATTCTGGAAGGCACAGAATGATTTCCTACAGTAAAATCGTTAATTCATAGCAGTTTTCTCTAGACAATTTCGGGAAATCTTGTTAACAAGAGAATTCTCTCTAATTTTATAGGTTTAAAATAAAAGTAATGAAGCTAAATTTTTATCTGGAAGTCACAAGACATATTCCAGTAGGAATTGAATTAAAAAAATAAAAATAGATTTTTTTGTAGACCAGGAAACATTGTTGGCTTAAAAAGCTGAAAGAAAAGCCAAAAAAGAGGCCAAGAGATTCACATAGGAAAGCTGGAATTCAAATAGTGACTAGGGAGAGGTTGGAGAAGGGATTGGTGAGAGGGGGGGAGGCTAGGGGAGGCTGGTAGGGTAGCAATGGTCCAGGACCTCCTCTCCCCATCACCAACAATGAGAAAAGACCAAAAGACGTATGCTAATGTGCGTCGTGTAATCCATCATTGACAATGCTGTGCTCTTTTAAACAAAAGAATCTCCAGTTTATCTTTAAAACGCTCAAAGTCGTGATTTATGACGTCGAAATGTGAAAATACTAAAATTTAAGCTAAATAAAGCTAGATTTGGTTTAAAAATGATCAAATCTGAACCAAGGTAGCCTTCAAAGTTAGTGAAGTAGTGAAGAGGTACTGTAGCTTGCTGTACTGTAACTAAAGGGTACCGTACTCTGAGTACTATGTACTTTTAACTCAAACAAGCATTTCAAATAGAGAAAACACGATTTTTAAGTAGTGTGACATCCAGCTAGGGTATTGCCAAAGAAATCTTTTCTTTTAAGAGACGCAGAGCAGAGAGAAAAGGCAGAGAAGGGCAGAGACACCAATTTGGTGGACCTACACTACCAAAAGATAGAGTAACGAGGGGAGAGAGCGATGAGAGCGATGAGAGCGATGAGGAGAGCGATGAGAAGGTCACGTGCTTTCCAGGATGGAGATTGGTGCTCTTTGTTGGGGTTTTGGGGTTGGATTTGAATGGAGAGGGTCGAGGCCGAATTGGAGTGCACATTAGAGAACAGATGGTCATCGGACAACACCTTAAAAGGCAAGGGTGACATCCAGGATTGACATTTCAGCGAGGTGTGGGCTGATTTAAGTGCGCTTACTTTGTGAAAATCGATGGGCAGAGTTTTTCAGTCTCATTTTTTAGAATCAAGTAAAAGTTGGAAATCTGAACGGAAAAAACTATGTGGTGACATCCAGGATTGACATTTTTGAGGTCAGCAAATGATCGTCTTTAATTATTCTTTGCAAAATCGTGGAGTGAACATTCCAATGAAAAAAAAATAATGAAAAAAGGGCTAGGCCAAGTTTTACTTGGTTTGCTACCAAGAGTGACATCCAATTTTGACATTGAATCTCAAAATTCGATGGTTTATGCGAGAATTTGTTCAAGAATTGCTTAGACTATGAAATTGTACGATTTATTGGCTACAACATCAAGAAAGAACGGCCATTTCCAATAAGGACATGATCGTTTCCAATGGCTCCTTCCAATCGAACTCCTTCCAATCGAAATGAGCGTCAGTCTTGAAAGATTTCTAAAAGAGAATTAGGTTTAAAGATTTACAGAATCCTCACAAATCAGAAAATTGATAATTACATTTGCTAATTGCCACCGACCAGCGATCTCTTATCTGCTTCTTTTAAACGCCTTCCTGTCGCCTCATTGGCTCAGTGGCAGAGCGTCTGTCTAGTAAACAGAAGGTCGCTGGTTCGATTCCAGCATGAGGCACCGAAAAATTTTTTTTTTTAAATTGATTTGTTTTGTTGTAAAACTATTCTAGAAACCAAAAACATAATAAAAAAAGAAAAAATCAAAAAAATCAAATGAATCAATCGTCAATCGTAATTAAACGAAGATTTTGATTTATTCGAATTGTTTGGGGCTAAATTTCGAGTCAATTGATCTCTCGCGATGGAGTGGCTACGGGTATGGTCTTTTCGTGAAAATTTCGACATTCCTCGTCACAACTCCACCGAAGCTCTCAATTGAATGAAGGAGAAGAGGGAAAATAACGAAAGGGAAATAAAGATGACACAAATTTGACCATTTGACCACAAATTTGACCACTAAAAGAAGAGCTTTAGAAGAAGAGAAGAGAAGAGAAGAGAAGCTAAAAGAA